CATAACTTGAACAATTTTAGACCAAATGTTTATTTCTTGGTCGCAAATTAAAGAGGGATTAATGCTTCTTTTCATTGGACCAATAGGAATTTTTTAAAACAACTTTTGATAGCCAGCGCCCCCACCCGCCCGTATCAGAAAAACGAAAATTTAGAAAAAAAGTTCAAAAAAAATTCATAACTTGAACAATTTTAGACCAAATGTTTATTTCTTGGTCGCAAATTAAAGAGGGATTAATGCTTCTTTTCATTGGACCAATAGGAATTTTTTAAAACAATTGTTGATAGCCAGCGTCCCCACCCGCCCGTATCAGAAAAACGAAAATTTGGAAAAAAATTTTTTAAAAAATTCATAACTTGAACAATTTTAGACCAAATGTTTATTTCTTGGTCGCAAATTAAAGAGGGATTAATGCTTCTTTTCATTGGACCAATAGGAATTTTTTAAAACAATTGTTGATAGCCAGCGTCCCCACCCGCCCATATCAGAAAAACGAAAATTTGGAAAAAATTTTTTTAAAAAATTCATAACTCGAACAATTTTAGACCAAATGTTTATTTCTTGGTCGCAAATTAAAGAGGGATTAATGCTTCTTTTCATTGGACCAATAGGAATTTTCAAAAACAATTTTTGATAGCCAGCGTCCCCACCCGCCCGTATCAGAAAAACGAAAATTTGGAAAAAAAGTTCAAAAAAAATTCATAACTTGAACAATTTTAGACCAAATGTTTATTTCTTGGTCGCAAATTAAAGAGGGATTAATGCTTCTTTTCATTGGACCAATAGGAATTTTTTAAAACAATTTTTGATAGCCAGCGTCCCCACCCGCCCGTATCAGAAAAACGAAAATATGGAAAAAAATTTTTTAAAAAATTCATAACTCGAACAATTTAAGACCAAATGTTTATTTCTTGGTCGCAAATTAAAGAGGGATTAATGCTTCTTTTCATTGGACCAATAGGAATTTTTTAAAACAATTTTTGATAGCCAGCGTCCCCACCCGCCCGTATCAGAAAACCGAAAATTTGGAAAAAAAGTTCAAAAAAAATTCATAACTAGAACAATTTTAGACCAAATGTTTATTTCTTGGTCGCAAATTAAATAGGGATTAATGCTTCTTTTCATTGGACCAATAGGAATTTTTTAAAACAACTTTTGATAGCCAGCGTCCCCACCCGCCCGTATCAGAAAAACGAAAATTTAGAAAAAAAGTTCAAAAAAAATTCATAACTTGAACAATTTTAGACCAAATGTTTATTTCTTGGTCGCAAATTAAAGAGGGATTAATGCTTCTTTTCATTGGACCAATAGGAATTTTTTAAAACAATTTTTGATAGCCAGCGTCCCCACCCGCCCGTATCAGAAAAACGAAAATTTGGAAAAAAATTTTTTAAAAAATTCATAACTCGAACAATTTTAGACCAAATGTTTATTTCTTGGTCGCAAATTAAAGAGGGATTAATGCTTCTTTTCATTGGACCAATAGGAATTTTCTAAAACAATTTTTGATAGCCAGCGTCCCCACCCGCCCGTATCAGAAAAACGAAAATTTGGAAAAAAATTTTTTAAAAAATTCATAACTTGAACAATTTTAGACCAAATGTTTATTTCTTGGTCGCAAATTAAAGAGGGATTAATGCTTCTTTTCATTGGACTAATAGGAATTTTTTAAAACAATTGTTGATAGCCAGCGTCCCCACCCGCCCGTATCAGAAAAACGAAAATTTGGAAAAAAAGTTCAATAAAAATTCATAACTTGAACAATTTTAGACCAAATGTTTATTTCTTGGTCGCAAATTAAAGAGGGATTAATGCTTCTTTTCATTGGACCAATAGGAATTTTTTAAAACAATTTTTGATAGCCAGCGTCCCCACCCGCCCGTATCAGAAAAACGAAAATTTGGAAAAAAATTTTTTAAAAAATTCATAACTCGAACAATTTTAGACCAAATGTTTATTTCTTGGTCGCAAATTAAAGAGGGATTAATGCTTCTTTTCAGTGGACCAATAGGAATTTTCTAAAACAATTTTTGATAGCCAGCGTCCCCACCCGCCCTTATCAGAAAAACGAAAATTTGGAAAAAAATTTTTTAAAAAATTCATAACTCGAACAATTTTAGACCAAATGTTTATTTCTTGGTCGCAAATTAAAGAGGGATTAATGCTTCTTTTCCTTGGACCAATAGGAATTTTTTAAAACAATTTTTGATAGCCAGCGTCCCCACCCGCCCGTATCAGAAAACCGAAAATTTGGAAAAAAAGTTCAAAAAAAATTCATAACTTGAACAATTTTAGACCAAATGTTTATTTCTTGGTCGCAAATTAAAGAGGGATTAATGCTTCTTTTCATTGGACCAATAGGAATTTTTTAAAACAATTTTTGATAGCCAGCGTCCCCACCCGCCCGTATCAGAAAAACGAAAATATGGAAAAAAATTTTTTAAAAAATTCATAACTCGAACAATTTTAGACCAAATGTTTATTTCTTGGTCGCAAATTAAAGAGGGATTAATGCTTCTTTTCATTGGACCAATAGGAATTTTTTAAAACAATTTTTGATAGCCAGCGTCCCCACCCGCCCGTATCAGAAAACCGAAAATTTGGAAAAAAAGTTCAAAAAAAATTCATAACTTGAACAATTTTAGACCAAATGTTTATTTCTTGGTCGCAAATTAAAGAGGGATTAATGCTTCTTTTCATTGGACCAATAGAAATTTTTTAAAACAACTTTTGATAGCCAGCGTCCCCACCCGCCCGTATCAGAAAAACGAAAATTTGGAAAAAAATTTTTAAAAAAATTCATAACTCGAACAATTTTAGACCAAATGTTTATTTCTTGGTCGCAAATTAAAGAGGGATTAATGCTCTTTAATAAAATGTGACTATTGCAATTTTTTTCTATAAACTTTAATAGCTAGCGTACGTTGTTTTTGCGTTGATTGAACCGTATAGGGCCACCGCGCTACTATGTGTGTCGGCGCCTATGGATTGTTCTGATGGCTTGCGGCCGGCGGGTCGCTATTTTCACCGAGCCCATAAAATTTGTTGAAAAAAATTAATTATTTAAAAAGATTGTTAACAAATTATTTGCAAGAATTTAATTATTTTTAAAAATTTTTTATAAAAATCGTTGCAAGAATTGAATTATTTATGTGAGTAATAAAATTCTTCTCAGAAATTTAACTATTTTTAAAAATATTAATAAAATTCGTCAAAGGTATAAAATTATTTTTTGAAAATTTTAATAAAATTCTTTTCAACTGTTTACTAATGTATTTTTATAAATAATCAAATTCATCGCAGGATTTTAATTATTTTAAATACAATTTGAATTAAATTGCTTTGAAATAATTCAATTATTTATTTAGATTTTAATAAAATTCTTCCCAAGAATTCAATTATTTACATAAATATTTTTTCGAAAGAATTCAATTATTAAATATAAATATCAAACTTATTCCCGAAAATTCAATTATTTTGAGGCATTTTAATAGAATTCTCTGTAAAATTTAATTATTTTTAAAAACTTTTAGCAATTTAATGATTTTTAATATCTACTATTTTCAAAGAATTTTCAAACAAAATTCAATTATTTAAAATTTTTTTGTAAAAATCTTCATAAAAGTTCAATTCTTTTCATGAATAATAAAAATTTTTCAAGAATTCAATTTTTTAAATTGGAATTTGCATAAAATTAATCGAAAAATGCAAATAATTTAATAATTTTTATAATATTCTTCGTAAACTTTTTTTATAAATATTTAAATTCTTCAATGAATAATAAAAATCGTTGCAGGAATTTAATTTATTAGCAGGATAAGAAAGAAGTAAATATTTTTTATGAAAATTAGGAGAAAGTCAGGAAAATAAAATTTAGAAATAAAAAAATCCATTCAAAATTTTTGTCAGTTTTGTGAAGTGTCTAAAACAAGTTTTTTTATGTCAAATTTAATTTTTCGACAGCTGCTTTTTTACTAATTTTTTTAGTTTGGAAGCTACTTTTTGCTACTTTTTAAAAATTAATCATCGAGTGCGAAGTCTTTTAATATCATAATAATAAATAATTAATATATAATTAGAAATTAGTTATTATTAGTTAGAAGACTAATAAATAAAAATTCCTCCACTTGAAGTTTTTTTCAAATATTTTTGTACTTTTTTATTCTTTTTTCTTAAAGCTACTTTATAATTATTATATTAATTATTTATTATTATTTGAATAATTGTAAAATACTTACTATAATAATAAATAATGAATATATAATTATAAAATATAAAATATTAAAAAATAGGGTAACTATAAAGAAGTAAAGAAAAAGAATTAGAAAAAAATGCAAGTGCAGTGAATTTTTTTATTTATTGTTTAAAAAGCAATTTTTCCAATTCATTTTTAATAGACTTTTTTACATTATTTTCGGTAATGTCTTTTCTATGGATAATAAATCGGCTTTTATTGATTTTTCTTATATTTTTCGTTCCATAATCTTATGTAAGGAAATGAGTTATTTACTTTCAATTTTAATGGTATCCGTTATGCAGCTCATCAAAAAAGTTTAAGTAATGGAAAATAAAGTAACAAGTATAATGTAGAATAAAAGGGGGAAGAGGAGAAAAAAAAAGTTTTTTAATGACAGCATGGAAGTTATTATATCAAGTTGTAATGCTTTCGCTCACTATGAATTATAATAGTATATAATACGTATTAGGCATCACTTTTGTTTCAAACTCGAAACTTTAATATTAAAGTCAGGAAATTAATCTTGGCAGTGAATGTTTTTATTAATATACAAATATATGAGACCAAATCGAGTAATTAAAATAATTAAAATTAAACTTTCCGTTAGGAGACCTTTTCTTTGAATTTCTCCTATGCAAAGTCAATGACACCAGAAAATTGAAAATTTAAAAATTAAAAATAAAATTTTGAAAAATAAATTCTGGGAAAATTAAAAAAATAAAATTTGTTTTTATAACAATTTGTTTTTTTAAATAGTTTATTTACAAAAAATTAATTTACGAAACGTGGTAAAATTACATATTACAGTAGAAAAATAACATTTTTTTCGAAGGATATATTTTTAATTTACAAATTCTTTTCGTAATTTATTTTTAACTCACGAATTATTTCGCAATTTGTTTTTTTTTTTAATTCACAAATTTCTTCGCAAATTTTTTTTTAATTTACAAAATTTTATAATTTACTCGGCTTAATGCGAACAGTTTGTACTGGAAGTGGTGACAAGTGACCGTCAATATTTTCATGATTGTGGACAATTATTTTTTTCACCTCAAGATCGTAGAATTCGAGACGATTTTTAACTGGTGAATCATTTCGTAATTCACTAATTGTTAATGTTGTTTTGTCGAGAGTATTTTTCTCCATAAAACTCACTTGCTTTGGATACAATGAATCTCCGGGTAGAAGAAATACTGTTCCGTCTAATAATTTTACCATGACCTTAAAAAAAAGAAAGAATGAACAGAAACAAGAAATTTTCATTACTTTGTTTGTAATTATTTTAGTCATTAAAAATTTTATTTCTTCATTAGAGAGAAAAATTCTATTAACTTGTAGGTCGATAATAAAAATCAAATTTGCCTATTGCGGTTAATAATTATTTTTCTTTATCTCTCTCTCTCTCTCTCTCTCTCTTTGCAAAAGAAAAATTATAATAACTTACGGGAAAATTTAATTGCACTCCCATTTTACTTCGATCGACGGCGAATTCTAATAAATTATCCAAAGATTCGAATTTCGCTAATCTCGCTAATTCATACTGTTGTGGTGGCATTAAAAGTACATTCGATGAGGAGTTAATAAGTTCCTTTGGATTTGCCCACTGAAAAGGAGAATTTTTATTTTTTAGAAGAGAATTAATTAATCTATTTTAAATAAAAATTGATTAAATTAAATTAAATTAATTCTTATTTAAATTAAATTAAATCGAATCAAATATTGAAATTCGATATTAGAGAATTAAAAATTAAATGAAATTGACTAATTTAATTTTAATTAAATTAATGAACTTCTCTAATTTATATTTAATTAATAAAATTAACTGATTTAAATTTAAATAATAAAATTAATAAATTTGTAAATATTGCAAAATGAAAAAAATTAGTAATAAATAAATCTTCAAAAGAAGATAAAAAGAAGAGATTTTACTATTAAATCCTCCATTTCGGTTTCTTCGTATTTAGCCTCGGGAATTTCGGGAAGACAAGCCAAATAGAAAACAGTATCAAAACGCTTTCCTATTGTTGTTGGTGTTAACCAATCGCTCCATTCGTGCAGTGACCATAAATCGGGGTAACATTGAAGACCTTCGCATAATTTGTAAAATTCTGTCGGATCATTGTGCACTTTGCTCTGCCACTTTTCAAGTTCACCGTTTGGAACTATTTTTGGAAAAATAAAATTAATTAGAAAATGAAAATAAATTAGGAGACGAAAAAAAATATTACTGAAGTAGAAAAAAATAAATCAGTGAGAAAATAAAAAAATGAAAGAAAAGGAATAAAGAAAATAATAAATAAGTGAAGAGATAAAAAAAATCAATGTAGAAGTAAGAAAAAAATAAAATAAAAAGAAATAAAAATTAGAGAAAAGAAATAAGGAAAATAGTTAATAAAAAAAAAAATAAATTTGAAGAGTGAATAACGAATTGAAGAAAAAATAATTTAATCAGGAAATGAAAATGAGAGAAAAGGAAAATAATAAATAAAAAATAAAGAATTATGAGTGAGAAGCAGAAAATATGCAAAATAGTTTCTATTTCCTATTTTTATTTTTTTTTAAATTTTCGAATTTTAATTAAAATTATGGAATTTCACAAATTTTAGGAAAATGAATATTAGAATTCATAAATTTTTAGAAAAACTTTTTTTAGAAATCAAAATTTGTTAGAGAAACTTTTTTTTAGAAATTAATAAATATATCCAAAAATAAAGAAGAAAATCAAATAAGTAAAGAAAAAATAAAGAAGGAAATGAATAAAGAGGTAAAGAAAAAAAATCAGAAAGAATAAAAAAAGAAAATTGATAAAGAAGTGAAGAAAAAAAATAAGTTAAAAAATTGAAATGAGAGGGGAAAAAATAAGAAAAGTAATAAATAATTCAGAAAATAAAGAAAAAAAAATGAATGAAGAATGTAAAAATATAATAAATAAGTGAAGAAATAAAAATGTGAAAAAAATAAAATAGTAAATAACTCGAAAGAAATAAAAAATAGTAATTAAATGAGGAAATAGAGAAGAAAATTAATTAAAGATGTAAAAATTAATAATTAATTAATTTATGAAAAGTATAACTAATAAATAAAATTATTAATTAATTAATTTTATGTATTATTTTAGTTATAACTAACCGGTAAAATTTTGTGCCCAATCCTTCAAAAAACCAACTTTCGACGAGCTTTTACAAAGTAAAATTCCACATTCCTCGAATGTCTCTCGAATTGCTGTTATTCTTAGAGAAATTTCTCGTGGCAATTCATTGGATACTTGTTTGAAAATTGGCGGCCGTGTATTAGTGTTTGGTATCAGTGATTTAAAATTATTCTGATCAAATCCAAAGGCAGCGAAGAGTTTATTCCATTTTAAATCAGCATCGGCCGGTTCGGTTGTACCGCCCGGAAATACATAGGCTCCGGGCATAAAACTCGAATTCTGGTGTCTCTTCAGTGCCATCAATTGATAGTCATACGTAAACTGTAAATTAAAACAAAGTTATTTACCATTTAAAAAAAAATAAAAATTGAAAATAATTATTAAATTTAATTTAAAAAATGGAAATTATTAAATTAAGTCGAAAAGAATAAAAATAATTATTAAATCAAGTTAAAAAGGGTAAAAATTAACAATTATTATTAAATCAAATTAAAAAGAGTAAAAATTAAAAATAATTATTAAATCAAATTAAAAAGGGTAAAAATTAAAGAATTAAATCTTTCTTTATGAATGATATTATTTTTTTTTTGATAATAATTTGTGAGTACTTACAACTGATGACGAAGTTTCTTTTGGTTTGACACGATGTCGAGCTGCTAGAAGAAGACTAGCAGCGTCTCTCCAAACTTTCATTGCGGACTTAATTTTTAGAGAATAGTACTTAGATAGGAAAGAATATTTCTGGTAGTAATAAATTATTTCACGTAATAACAAATTATAAGGTTCAATATCATCATAACCTTTTTTGAATGATTTTTTTTGAGTCTGCAAAAGACAAAATTAGTAAGGTGAAAATAAATGAATGCGCTGTTAGAGATATTCAACTGTTTAAATAAAATCTAATTTTTTTTTTCAAAAATTCGAATTCATTCTAATTCTACTTGACAAAAAAATATAATTTGAAATTTATTATCTGCGTTCATACCTATTTACAATTAAATTAATTAATTAAATTTTTACAATAAAATTTTTACAATAAAAATTTACAGTAAAAGTTTTACAATAAAAATTTACAGTAAAAGTTTTACAATAAAAATTTACAATAAAAGTTTTACAATAATAATTTACAATAAAAGTTTTGCAATAAAAATTTACGATAAAAGTATTAGAATAAAAATTGTTTACAAGTCCATTTACTTATTATCGAATGAAAATAATTTTTTTCAAACAAAATTTTTTTCAAATATATTCTTTCATTCATTTTGAAATTATATTTTGAATATTTCCTTCTCACAGAGGTTATGTTTACAAATAATAAAATTTCAATCCTAATTAATTATTAAAAAAAACCTTTTTTCATAAAAAAAATGTCGACATTTATTATTTTTATTTAATAAAATGTTGTCATGAATTTTATATTTGTAAAAAAACGGTGAAACTAGAAACAATGCTTGCACTATTGTTTAAATTTATGCAAATAGGAAAAAGGAGAATAAGAGATTCGTATTTTCCACTTTGAACTACTTACATTTCTCTAAGTGAGCAACTTGCGTAATAGATGGATAAAAATAATATTAAATAAATTATATCACATATGTGACTGAATTTTGCTGCGCCGATAGCGGCACATTTCCTACTGAAATTTATCGTTGAGTCATGATATTGAAAATCAAGAAGTGAGCGCGACTATGAAATGATAATCACGCTAATTGTTTCCAGACACTAGGAGAATTTATTTTTTTTAAATATCCTATAATTTTTATTTTTCTATATAATATTTAGAATTGTGATAAATTATTATTTGTACGTTTTTATATATCACTGCGGAAAAATTTGATTCAATTTTTCTTTTATTTTTTTCTTTTATTTTTTTTAAAATTTTTTTTTTATAAATAAAGTTCCGTATTTTATTATTTCTATTATTGATTTATTTAATTTTAATAGAGAAATATTTATTACTATATATTTATTACTATATTAGTAATTATTAACGTTATTAGTTAATATTAATAGTATTAAAAATATTAATAATATTAGAACTACTAATAATATTAATATGGTAACATTAATAATATAAGTAATAAGTATATTAAATATATAAATTATATATTGTAATAAAATATATTTATTGACTTTATTCTAAAATAGAAGTCAAATTGTATTTTTAAATTTGGAGTATAATTTTTTCAGTCTATACAAATAAATCACAATATTGTCTCAATATTAAAAGATTGAAATATTGAAACATTGAAATATTGAATTATTCGAATATTAAAGTATTGAAAAAATTTTAAACAGTATTTTTTACAGTAAAATTGAGACAATATTATTGTTGTCGAGGCGATGCGTTATTGAGAATATTTGGAGAATCACTTGTTAAATATATTAAATTAATTTAATTTAAACAAGTCAAATTAATTTGTTGTCACGAATATTCCGAAAACAATTTATATTATTTAGACAATAATACTTGCTTTAAATATTAAAATAACAAAGTATTTAATTAAGTACCAACAGAAATAAATAACTACTCTCATTTTTTTCATACATAATTAATTATTTGAACTAAATATGAGTCTTGTAACGTCAGGAATTTTTGCTTTTTTCATCTGGTTTCCCCGTTGCTGCCATTAGTAATTCATAAAGTTGATACACTTGTTCGTCTCTTAATTTTTCAATGTCTTCACTATTTAAATTCTTTCCTAAAGTCTCCGACGTTTTTGGTCCTTGCAATCCAAGTTGTTTCGCCAAAGATATTGCATAATTCTGAAAAAATATTATCTTTTATTTACAAATATTAAATAAACAAATTATAATATTAATTAATTCAATTCTCAATTAATTATACTGTAATTTCAATCACTATCAATTACCTAATTCAATTTCATTTTATTAATATTTAACATCCTAAAATTTAAAACGTTCAAATGAGTGCGAATTTTTTTTTCTTCTTTTAATTTGTGTTCTTGTGAAAAAATTATTTTTTTCATGAAAAATATTAATTCTAAATTAATGAGATGTTTAATTTTAATATATTTTTTTCTTGAAAATATTGTTATTTTATTAAAAAATATTAAAAAATATTTAAATAGAAAAAAAATTCGTTCATTTGAACTTTTAAAACTGTAGGAAAATAATTTAACGATTGAGTGATAAAAGAATTATTTATAGTTAATAATTAATTAATAAGTATTTTGACTAGTATTATAAATATTGTCTCTATTGCAAATAAATATTATCACTAATATTATAAATATATTATAAATATATGTAAAACAAAAAGACGTCGGTGATAGTAACTTTACCATAAATGTCAAAACACATTTTTGGAGTAAATAATTCTAATGTAAAAAAGTTATCGTTCATTTCAGAATTTCCTTATTTTTTTATTCTAATATAATATTAGTGAAAAATTGTTTACATTTAGCCGGCAAATAATTTACTATATTAATAACCTAACCTCTGGAATTGTATTTACATTCAAGTGCAGAGGAACATGACAGAAAAGGAGAAACAAAACATAAAAGAAATATTAGATATTTATTCTTACGGCCCATTCGTTCAGGAAAACATTAGCTTCAGCTGAATTGCAAGTTTTATGACGTTTAAATTCATCTCGTACATAATTATTGCCAAGGGATTGTATTTCCAATGGTAGTCCTCGATGTAGCCTCAAAACTGTCTTGTAGAGTCTTCTTACTCGTTGTAAATGCGTTAACGAGCTCATACTTCTATTCCCAGTATTTATTTTTAATACTGATTATAATTTTTCAATTGTTCAATCCAAAACTTTCAAGAAACTTCATTTTTTTCAGCAATTCCATTATAGTGTTTATTTATAAAAATTTTACGTCCCTGAGAGTTTCAAACTAAAATTATAATTCATCCATCGAAAATATATAATTTACTCGAAAAGTTGAAACTGTAGTGAATTTATCTCTGCTCCGAAAAGCGATCCGAAAAGTTTCTTACTGTGGCATCTAGAATAATTCACTGGAACTTATTTGAAAGTGTCTGTCGGTAAAGTAATTTTAATTTTGTTTTTCCCTGACTTTTCCCTGATTTCGAAACAAAATTTTGAATTTTTCCCTGACCCTAAAGAATATTCTGATTCACCCTAAAAATTTTTAGATACTCAAAAAAATTTCTATTACATGTATTTGCGACTTTCTGTAATTGTAAAATTATTCGAAAACGTCAATAACTTCTTTTTTTAAATAAATATTTAATCATTATTATTTTTTCATAGGAATGAAGATTTTTAAAAAATTCAAATAAAAAATTTCTGAAATTATTGGAATTTTGTAAAAAAAATTTGCAATTAATTTATAAAGAGAATTGAAATGTTGGCGACAATTTTTTTTATTCTTTGAAAATAATTGAATTTCTGCGAAGAATTTTATTAATTTTGAAAATAATTGAATTCTGGTGATGAATATTGTTATTTATGAAAATAATTGAATTTTACAATAAATTTTTCTATTTATAAAGATAATTAAAATGTTGACGAGAATTTTTCAAAAAAGTTTTGAAAATAATTTAATTTCTAATTTTAATATTTATTAAGATAGTTGAATTCTTTCAAATAATTGCGTTGAAATTTTTAAAATTGGAACAAATTTCAACGGAATTGAAATTAAAGTTTTGGAAAAAAAGACACAAAAATTTAGAAATTTCTTATATGTAAATTCTAAAAATTTAATTGTTTCCTATTTTATAATCAATAATTAATACTGGATTTTTAGTTTTTAATTTAGATTAAAATTTTTTATTAGAACTGATTCTCGATTACAATTATATAAAAAATAATTATTTCTATTTTTTTTTTTTTTGCTGATTCTTATTTTTTAGTATGTAAATTATAATTATGTTGTAGAATGTTTATGAATTGGCAAATGGAAACTAATGACTAGCAGCGAGTTATGAGAGTTCTTTTTTCTTTTTGAAATTTTATATTTTTGTAGTTTGCAAATTGTCAAAACCACTGTCATTGTCAATTGAATCAGAGTGCGTTAGATCGAGACTTCTTTGCACTATATTTCGCCGACAAGCCATTTCAGCCAATTGTGATAATGTTCTTGCTGTTTTTTCGCCAGTTTTCTGCACCATTTTTGAAAAGTATCCATTTGGATGGTCACTTAATAATTCATGGGGGCAGCCAAATTCCTGTTTTCAAAAAAAAGAGATATTGTACAATATTAGGTTTAAAAGTTGTTCTTGATATTTTTATTATTTATTTCTATTTATCTTACCACCATGTGACCTTTTTCCATGACAACAATCCGATCGCTGTCAATGACAGTATTTAATCTATGTGCCACTGTCAGTACGGTGCAATCTGTGAATTTCGTTCGTATCGTTTTTTGAATAAGACTGTCCGTACTGAAAATAAAATTCTACTGTTAGTACTCTTCAAAATCACATTTTTAATTAATTTTTTCTTTTTCAGAAAAATGAAGAAGAAGAAGAAAAATTGAAAGGCGCCTTAAATTCATCTACCGCGGAGGACTTTGCTTCTTCAAATGGTGAGTACCTAATTAAAAAATTTATTGGTGATGGGAACTTACTATGAATCGATGTTAGCAGTCGCCTCATCCAGCAAAAGAATTTTATTATTCCGTAAAATTGCCCTCGCTAGGCATATCAATTGTCGCTCTCCAACGCTGAAATTACTTCCACCAACGGCAACTTGCATGTCTAAGGAAAGATCACTCAGTTCCACTTCTCTCAAGGCATCGTAGAGTAAATCGTCTGAATATAATCCAAAAGGATCCAAATTGCGTCGAAGACTTTCGGAAAATAGAACCGGTTCCTGTGGTATTATCGATATTCGCGAACGTAATTCTTGTAGACCAACTAATTTTGTATCAACGCCATCAATTATCAATTCTCCCTCCAATCCCTCGTTGTAAAGTCGAAACAAAACTGATATCAGGGAGGATTTACCAGCTCCGGTTCTGCCAACAATTCCAACTCTCCATCCTGATTCTATCACCAAATTTAGATTCTGAAAAGAATTATTTGTTATTTGGATATTTGGTTCTGATAGTTGGTTATTCCTCGAGTTATTTAAGAAGAAGAACAGGATTGCAAAGAAAATTTTATTTTCTTCTTTCCTGATTTTCAGACAGAACTTTGACTTTTTCCCTGATTCTTACAAGAATATTTTTTAATTCACTCTAAAAATAATGTTGAATTTTAAGAAATTAGGGTTTTTCGAATTTCTGATAATTTTTAATAAATTTAAATTTTTTACCAAAACGTGGAGACTATTAAATAAGTAAAGTGTTTTTTAAGAGCCCAAAAATATTGAAGCTAAATGCCATAAAAGAGAAGAAAAAATATTGAATTTTAAGAAATTAGGTTTTTTGAATTTTTGATAGTTTTTAATAAATTAAAATTTTGTTACCAAAGAGTGGAGACTATTAAATCAGTAAAGTGTTTTTTAAGAGCCCAAAAATATTAAAGCTAAATGCCATAGAACAGAAGAGAAAATTTTGAATTTAAAGAAATTGGGTTTTTCGAATTTTTGAAAATTTTTAATAAATTTTAATTTTTTACCAAAAGGTGTAGACAATTAAATAAGTAAAGTGTTTTTCAAAAGCACAAAAATATTGAAGCTAAATGCCATAAAAGAGAAGAAAAAATATTGAATTTTAAGAAATTAGGTTTTTTGAATTTTTGATAGTTTTTAATAAATTAAAATTTTTTTACCAAAGAGTGGAGACTATTAAATCAGTAAAGTGTTTTTTAAGAGCCCAAAAATATTGAAGCTAAATGCCATAGAATAGAAGAGAAAATGTTGAATTTAAAGAAATTGGATTTTTCGAATTTTTGAAAATTTTTAATAAATTTAAATTTTTTACCAAAAGGTGGAGACAATTAAATTAGTAAAGTGTTTTTTAAAAAATCCACTTGTTTAGAATTCAATTTCATAAATTTTAAATAGTTTGAAAATTTTTTTGATTAAATATATATTGAAAAATACAACAAATTTCAAAAATGTTTCAATAAAAATAATTCAAGAAACTGACTTCTTCAGAATTTATTATTAAAAATTATTAAGATTCAACTATTCAAAAAATGCAATTTCAAACTTTTTGAAATTCAATCTATGAAAATAATATATATTAGTAATATTAATTTAACATTCTAAAAAATAAAAATAGTTACTTATAAATTATTTTAGAAAAACTAGTTAATATTAATGAAAAAACGGTTTCTGTATAATTTATTTTTTAAGAATTAAATTAATTTTAGAAAATTCATATCACTTTTGTTCTAATTAGTTCAAGTTTTTACTAATTTAAATTTAGAGAATAATTTTTCTGATAATATTATTACAAAAAAATAGAAATTAATTTATTTTCCATTATTTTGCGTAAATAATTATAAAAAAATTTTCCTATTTTTGATAAGTAATTATTTCATTCTTTAATTTTTCCCTGGCCAATTTTGCTTTTTCTGAATCTTGCCTAACTTGTGGCAACCCTGAAGAAGAAGAAGAAGAAGAAGAAGAAGAAGAGATATTTTATTTAGTAATATTAAAATTAGCTGCGTGTATAGTTACGTTGAGTACAACAGGACCACTTGATTTGTATTTTAAATTGATATTTTTGAGGATCATTCGTCCCTTTGTTGGCCATGTTGGTTGTATCGGAATTGAAGATTCCATTGGCTTTTCTTGTGGAAGATCAGTGTACTGCATAATTCTTTCCACTGACGTCATGTACGATGCCGTTTCCGCAAGACGTCTCACTCCGTATTGCAACATACCGGCCAAAATTAGTGACTGCGATATTGCTAATCCGACATTAGCACCGCTGCTTTCATCTAAAGAAACAGTTTTTTTTCAGTTATAAATTGAAATTACAAATTGAAACTACAAAATTAAATTATAAATTTAAATTACAATAGAAATTACAAATTTGTAATCACAATAAAATTTTACTACTTACGTATTAAAATTAGAGAAAATGTAACACAAGCAATAAAGACGCAAACAATAAGATCGAGATAATAGCCAAGGCAATTGATTGTTGCTACTATAAGACTCCAAGAGCTTGTGTGTGCATCTTGTAGGCCATCAAATTCTTTTCGTAATCGACCCTCCATTTCTACTCCACAACTTCTTATTGTTGTCAATCCATTGAGACTCGAAGTAATGTACGAAAATACTGGACTTTTACCTGAAATGACAAAATAATTTTATGTTTCTTAAATAAAAGTAATTTTAGTTTTTTTTTATTGAAAATAATATCAGTTTTTTTAAGTAAAATTTATATAAGTATTTTTTATATTTTCTAATACTTACTGACACCCTCGAGTCTCCTGAGTACTCGAGCACTTCTCAGGTAGTAATTTTTTAATTGATTGTAAAGTAACATCATTATTATAATGGGAATAATCATCCAATAATTGACAATTGTCACCATAACGAAAATACCCAACATGACGAAAAATATTTGCAATCCTTCGACAAGTGCATTAGGCAATAATTCATCCATTGTACCAACGTCTTTGGTAAATCTATTCAAAATTCGCCCTAAATTTGAATATTTATTAATTGTAGTTATGATTCTTGATGAAGAATTATTGCATCCAGATTCTTAAACTAAAAATTCACCCCTCAAAGAGAAAAAAAGAGAAACAAAAAATTCTCCCTTTAAAGAAAAAAAAGAGAAACAAAAAATTCTTCCTTTAAAGAAAAAAAAGAGAAACAAAAAATTCTCCCTTCAAAGAAAAAAAAAAGAAAAACAAAAAATAAATACAAAATACTCTAAGAAAAGAAAATAGAAAATAGTTAAAAAGAAAAAAAGGCGAAATAATTAAAGCAAAAGAAAAAAGAAAGTAATTAGAAGAAAATAAAAAATAGAAGAGGATGTAAAATTAAAAAAGGTAATGCATTTAAAAAATAGAACAACGGAATTAGAATCAGTAAATAATTTGTCAAATTACCAGATGAATTTGTATCGAAAAAATTCATATTGGCGTGTAGAAGATTGGCGAACATGGAATTGTGTAAATTTTTCCCGGCGATGGTGCACGAGGCGATGAATGAAGTTGCACGTAAAAAATTAATAACCATACAAAGTATTAAAAGAACACCGTAAATATAGATGCTGTTTGTCGTCGTTAAAAGGCCATTTTTATCGTATTGTAAAAATGAGAAGAAATGATTTTCATTTTTAATTGGTGACGTTTTGTTATTCTCAATGTCTGTTCGTAATGCCTCCAATTGATTCCAATAGCTGACCCAGTAATCCGAACCACTGGTAACAGCTTGCGAGAGTATCAAAAGAAATACAAGTGAAGGAATAACAAAACATTTTCCAGCTTGCGATAAGTAACGAAAGAATATATTTAAACCCATCGAACCCTTTTGCATTTCTTCCTCTTCTTCCTTATCTTCACTCGCAACATTAATTTGTTCCTGTGAAGTTGTACTGGTATTCAATTCCTGTGAAAATAAATGTTAAAATTAATAAAATATAAATAAAATAAAAAAATAAATAATATAATAATAAATTAATTAAATTAATAATAGTTAAGCTAAAACTGGCACCACCCACTTGAAAATTAAATTTTATTTATTAAATTTTGTATTTAATAATAATTAATGATAAAAGAAATACTAAAATTAATAATTACTAAATTATTTATACAATTAAATTAAATTTGAATTTGATTAAAATTTCTTGAAATAATTGAATTCTTTCGAAGAATTTTAATAAAATTTTTTTTATTAATTGCAATTTTCGGGGAATTAATTTAAAATGATATTAAAAATAATTGAAATTCAGCAATAATTTTATTATGAAAATAATAAAATTCTTGCGAAGAATTTTTTAAAAATCTTATTAAATAATTGATTTTGTTGGAAAAATTTCTAAGAAAAATGTATTTTAAACAATTAAATTCCTCTGAAAATATTATTTATGAAAATAATTGAATTTTATTAAAAATTTAAAATTATATTCAAAATAATTGAATATATCTAAAGTATTTTATTATTTATGAAAATAATTGAATTTCCGCAAAGAATTTTATATTATTTATGAGAATAATTGAATTCTTAAAAAATTTTTTTTACGAATTTAATAAAAATTTTTGAAAATAATTGAATTTTTTCAAGAAATTTTATTAAAATTGCATTGAAAATAATTGAATTCAATTAAAAATATATTGGAAAATAAAAACTTGAAATAATTTTAAAAAATTCAATTAAACTAAAAATTACTTCTACAGAATTGTTAGTTAATAGTCTGAAAAATTAAAATTTTTAAAGATTTTTAATTTGAAACCTTTTCAAAATTCAATTACTTTTAAAAATTCAATTATGGTTTAAAACTTTAACTAAAATTCATTTATAAATCAATTTTTAGTAGAAAATTCTACGAGAATTCAATTATTTAACTATAAAAATAAATATTTTATTAAACAATTGAATGTTTCTTAATGATTTTATTTCATAAAAAATTATATGAACAAATTTTTAAATAATTGAATTCTCTTGACGAATTTTAATAAAATTTTGAAGAATAATTGCTTTTTTCCAGAAATTTGATGAAAATTGTATTAAAATTAATTGAAATTCTGCCAAGAATTTTATTAAAAGTTTTGAAAATAATTGAATTTCGGAGAAAATTTTTATTATTTATAAAGTTAATTGAAATTTTGACAAGAATTTTTGTAAATTTTTATGCATAATTGGATTTCTGCGAAGAATTTTATTAAAATTATTTTGAAAAAAATTGAATTGTTACGCAAAGAATTGCATTCAAATTTTTGAAAATAATTGTATTCTTTAAAGAAATTTAATTAAAAATGTATTGAAAATAATACTCAAATTCTAATAAATAAATTGTAGCAAAGATTATTAAAATAATTAAATTTCTTTGATAAATTAAAAAAAATCTTTAAGAATAATGACTTTTTCGAGGAATTTCATTAAAATTGTATTAAAAATAATTGAAATTCAGCATTGAGTTTTATTATTTATGTAAATAATTGAATAATATATGAAAATACTTTGTAAATAATTAAATTCCTGTAAAATTGTCATAATTTATGAAAATAACGAAAAGTTTGCGTAGAATTTTATTAAAATTTTTGTTAACTAATTGAATTCTTTTGGTAATTTTTATTAAAGTAGTAGATATTAAAGATCATTGAATTGAGGAAAGTTTTTGAAAATAATTAAAATTTTTCCAACAATTTTATTAAAATTTTTGAAAATAATTGAATTTCTGATTAGAATTTTACTACTTTTGGAAATAATTGAATTTCTGCAATAATTTGTAATTGCTTCAAAATTTAATTTGTTTTAGTGTTTTTAACTAAAGTTCTTCTATAAATCGATTATTTTTTAATAAAACTAGTTAAATTAAACATTTTTCACTTTATTACAGAGAAAATTTTTACTCTGCAGAATTTAAAAAAATTCTTTTTGAATTTGAATAAATTTTGGGGGTAATCCAGCCCCTCAATTTTAGTATAAATCAGGCTGGGAAGATTTTTTTAAAATGAAAATTCAACAAAAATATAAGTGAATTAATTCTTTGTATAATAATTAAATTAAATAGTGGAATTTTTTTTACCGAATTAGAATTATTTGATTTTTTCGACGAGCGACTCAATGTTCGTCTTCTGAAACTGGTTTTTTTATTTTTTCCCTTCGATGAACTTTCATCAGCTTCATCTTGTTCAGTGTCGGCTAATTCGTCGTCTGTTTGACTCTCCAAAATCTTCATGTATTCCGAGTCCAATGAATGAATGTCGTTATAGCAACCTTGAAATCTGATAGTTCCCTGCAATATTTTTTTTTTAATTAATACCTAATAATTTTTTAATTATTTTGCTAATTTCTTTGAGAATATTTTTTTAATTATTACTGCAAAATTATTGGAACGAATATAAAATTTTCAGACTGAACTTTGAATAATGTTTTGCTGTGTCGAATTATTATTTTCATAATTAATTATAATTTTTATTTTTTAGGTGTTTAAAATTTTAAATTGAATAAATTTTGGTTTTATCGAAATTGGAAATTTTTATAAATCCCGTAATTATTCTTATTTTGTTTTGTTTTTTGTTATTTTCTTTTTGTTTTAATTTCGGAGACATTTTTAGAGGCGATTTTAGAGGCAATTTTAGATGCAATTTTAGAGTCTGTCTCCTTTGGAGTATACTTAAATTTAATCCCACATTGCACTTACTCGTTCGATAATGGCGACAATATCAGCACGTGGTAGAAAATGGATTTGATGAGTGGCGAGAATACGAGTTTTCCCTTTGAGATATTCTAAAATGCATTTTTGAAATAAATCCTGTCCCACGTGAGTGTCAACGGCACTGAGTGGATCGTCCAAAAGATAGAGATCAGCTTGTCTATAAACTGCTCGCGCCAAATTGACACGAGCTTTCTGTCCACCTGAAAGTGTCGCTCCACGATCTCCCACGTGTGTCATATCCCCGTATGCGAATTGTTTAAAATCTGGTTTCAAAGCGCACACTTTCGTTACCTTCAATGAAATCAAATAATTAGCAAAAAAAGAATATTCCCAAAGTTTCGAATCTACAAATGCACGACATTTTTTTTAATTCCTTTTAATTTGTATTTTACTAAAAAAAATTATAAATCCTGATTTTCAGTATTCTCATATTTCTTACCTCGTCATATCGGGCCTTATCGTACGGATTTCCAAACAAAATATTCTCCCTGATTGTACCGGTAAATATCCAAGGCACTTGACTAGCGTAAGAAATTTTCAAATTTGGATTATCAATGTAAAAGCCACGAAAAATTTCACTCTCCGATTCTCCATTTTTGTACTTCTGTCGGAGTGAAACATTCCCAGCGCCCAGTGGCAGTTCCTTCAGTAAAAGATGTAATATTGCCGATTTTCCCGAACCAACTGGACCGACGAGTGCACAAAGTTGTCCCGGCGGTACTTTTAGAGAAACATTGCAAAGCGTTGGTGGCAATTGGCACGATACCCAATTAGCACAAACTCTACTAAGTTCAATTTTTACAGGATTATTCTCCTCATTTTCTGCCTGTGCAATTTTACCGTTCTCCGTTTTGCCAAAATAGAAAATATCATTATTTCGAAATTCCATTTTATTTCTGTCGAGATTATTCTTCTTCACGTCCGTCAGTGGAGTTATCTCTTCCAATAGGAGGAATTGTTCTAAACGTTTTATTGAAACTAACATTTCTGATAAGTACTGTAGACCATTTGGTATGTAAATGGACATTGCTCTTTGTAAAATATTACAGTAAACGGCAATTGTAAAACTTATTTCCGAATTAAGTTTGTTACCTGTTAATACGAATACTGATAGTGTTACAAATAATATTGCTCGTTCGGTGAATACCATTCCACTCAAGTAAGTTGCTCGGACAATTGCCATGTAGATGAGATTTAGTACTTCCTTGGCGCGAAGGAGTGAGACCATTTTTTCGAATGATTTTTCCCAGGCGTACATTTTCACCACCTGGAAATTTTTTTTTATTATTATTATTGCAAATTAATGTAAAACTAGCAACGATTCTAACTAACTAAATTTTTAATACCTTTTTTTAAATAAAATTAGCAATTTTAAAAATAATAGAATTTAAAAATTTACTAAATTAAAATTTTTGTTGAAAACACTAAAAAAATTCAATTTTCGAGAAATTACAAATAATTGCAGAAATTCAATTATTTTAAAAAAAAAAAAATAAAATTCAACTATGTTCAAAATTTGAAAAAATTCTCCTAAAAATCCCAATTATCTTTATAAATAACAAAATTCTTCTCCAAAGTTCAATTATTTTCATAAATGTCAAAAAAAAAATTCTTGTCCTAATTTCAATTTTATTTTCAAACATTTTTCTAATTTCAATTATTTTCAAAAATAAAATGCATTTTTCTAATTTCAATGATTTTCAATATCTACTATTTTAATAAAATTTCCCAAAAAGAATTCAATTATTTTTTTAAAAAAAATAATGATAATTGCAAACATTTAATTATTTTCATAAATAATAAAAATTTCACAGGAATTCAATTATTTTCATAAATAATAATAAAATATTTTTAAGAAATTCAATTATTATTTTCATAAAAAATAATTTTAAATTCTAGAAAATAATAACTGAATTAAAATGATGAAAATAATTTTAATGAAGTTACAGTAACAATATTCTTATGATGAAAAATAATTATTTTATTTTTCGAACAACTTTAATAATTATTATAAAACATGAAGAAATCGATCACTCCGAGTCGAAGACTCGGAGCAATCAATTTCTTCATGTTTTATAAAAATACTTTTATAAGTTGTTTTATTTAAAAAAAAGTTTGAATTTAAAATGTTTGCCTTAAAATTTTTATTTTAATTCCTGTGGAAAATCCTGTTTAAAAATAAGATTAAGAATAGGAATATTGTACAAATATTTTTCTTCTTTTTCTAAAACAAAATAATAATTTTGTTAAAAAAAATTGTGATTCATAAAGAAATATAATGCAAAATAAATAAATTTTCTATTTCTTAATCACAGTTGTTTAACAATTTTCCAATTTTGTTTAGAAGTAAAGAAGAAAAATCTGGATAATTTCAATTTGACAAAACATAATATTTAACAAAAATTTTGTCTTTTAATAAAAAGAAGTAAAACAAATGTTGATGATTTCTATTTGTCATTACAATTTTGAATTAATTATAAAATAAATTAAATTAATAAATTTCTACAGAAGAAAAAATTTTTGGTTTTTAATTCGTATTAAATTTTTGGTTTTTTTTATTAGTTTTTTTATTATTATTAATTTTTTTCTTAGAATTTCATTAAATTTACAATTCAAAATATTGAAAAAGAATAATTTTCATAATTAAAGAAAATTATTTAAACAAAAAATTATGAAACAAAAAGTAAACAAAAACAACTAACTTCAAACTGCGAACAGACGATCGGAATATAAATTATTAATATATGAATTCTGTGGAAGAAAGGCATAACAGCATAACTGACATTTTTATCAAATTTGAGATAACATCAGATTTGTATATATTTAATATTGCTCTTCAAAGTTCAATAGCTGAAAAATCATTAAAATGGTTATTAATGTAGAAAATAATGGAAAACATAATCGCATAATTGCGTTTTTGACAAAAGGAGACCAGCATAATAACATAACTGCATTCAGCTTAAAAAACAATTGACATAATTAAAAATGAAAATAACCTTTATGAATAAAAACAATAAGAATTTTGTAATAAAATGTTTTTAGTAAAATACATTTTTCGTACTTTAAATTAAATATATTTATTTTAATAAAACTGGAACAAATTTTTTATAGCATAAATTGTGCATTTAATTATGTACTAATTTTTAAGGGTATTTCTATTCTAAAAAATTTTGGAAAGTATTTCAAAAAATAAATTGAAAAATTCTTCAAGTTGAACAGTAAAGTAAATTTTTTCTTCGTTTCAATAAATTAAAAACATTTTATAAAAAAATAAATTTTATAACTAAATAAACTCTTATAATTTTTTCTAACGAATTAATAGTTTAATTTGTCTTTGTATGAAAAATTTTTTTATTATGACAAATCAAACCAAAATAAATTGTGACATTAAATGTGTCTGAAGTTGGACTCATAAAAAATCTGAACTTGCATAACCGCATAAGTGCAATAAAACTCATGATTCCGATGAAAAATTATCAAAATTTATATCAAATCGTGTGTTTTATTAAATGTTATAAAAGAGTTTTGAAAATATATTAAATAATAATACTAAATGCAAAAGACCGAACAAATCTGTTGATTTTCTGAATTGACAGAAGTGAGAGAACATTAAAATTAATTTATCTCGAAATCATGACAAATGCAGTTATGCTGTTATGCCTTTCTTCCACAGAATTTTAATAAAACAGTAGAATGTATCGCATTAAAATGAATGTAAAAATAGAATGTAAGGAAAATTTTTAGTTTTTTTCATATTTATTGAAATTTAAATTTCCAGTGATTAAAATATTGATTTTTAATAAAAATTATGTGGGAAAATCTTACCTGAATACCTTGTACCAATTCGTTCATGCGCTGAACTCTTCTATCCGTTAAGGGAGCAATTTTGGTTCTCAATTTATTGCTAATGTAGGACAGACAAATTTGAATCGGTGCTGAAAGTACAATTACAGTTGCGAGAGCTGCAAGCGTAGAATATCCCACATATTGCCACATAATGCAAGCAACAATTATTACCTGTTAATAAAAAAATTAATTAATAACTAAATTAATTATAATTAAGTCAATTAATAATAATTGAATAAATTAATTAGAATTAATTAAATTAATTATAATTTACTAACATAATTATAATTAACTAAATTTAATCCTAATTATTATTTATAACCCAATTAATAAACAATTAATTAGGTAATTAAAAATCAAAATTAAGGAATTAAAATCAAATTAGGAAAATAATTTTACAGGGAATTCAGAAAAGGTGATATTAATGATTTTGAAATATAAATATTAAATTTATTTATAATTTACTTTAAACTTACTTGAAAAGGCATTATCCAAATGTTATGGAGGAACATGAATGTTAAATCAAAGCGACCAACATCATTGCTAAGAAGATTTACTATTTGTCCCGCTGCCGTTTTGTCGAGGGCTGATTTACTAAGTCTCAGGAGCTAAAAAACAGAATTTAATTTATTGACTATTAATTTTTTATTATTATTATTATTAATTTTTATTTCATTATTTTTATTTTCATTTTTATTATTAATTAATTTAATACTTAAAAATATTTTCATTTTTATAATTTCTTTAAATTTGGAAATGAACTCCAATTTATAATTATTTTTCATAAAAATAAGAAAAAATAATTATTCGTTTAAGGCTACTTGAACCATTATGACGTCACAATTTTAAAACACATGCTTTGCACAAACTGTGACGTTATAATGATCCAAATGCCCTAAAATTAAATTTTAATAATTTAATTTAATTTCGGGATTTTAATATTATTTAATGTAAATTTAAAAATAAAACATGCAATTTTTATTTTTGAAAAATATATTTTTATATCTATATTAAGAAAACATTGCGCGCAGTAGCAAAAACTTTGCATATTTTGCAAATATTTGTTATTCAACAATTAATTTTAATTCTTAACATCTTAGAGAGAATTTTAATGTAATTTAATAACTTGAATAAATTTAAAAATTTTTTTACAAAATTTCTGCTGTTTGCTTTGCTTTGAATCAAAGCTATAAGGAAGTTAAAATCGAAAATTATAAATGTAGGGTCAAACATAGATAACAATAAAATTAGAAAAAAAAATCGTTTCATTGAAGATAATATTTTGTTTATAATTTTTTTTTTTTTTGAAACATTTCTTTAGAAAATAATTACGAAACTATTTCCTCTGATTTATAAGAGAAAATAGAAATAATATTTAATAATAAAACGTTATTTCTCTTTAGCGAGCTTTAGACGATTTCCTTATTGAAGATAATTTTAAATTCCTGTATAAAAAAAATTATCTGCGACAAAAATAGATTATAGAAGTTAAAGAACGTAATATCGATCGAAATAAACGTTTCTTTATTGTTGCTGAAAAATTTAGGAAATCAATTATTAAGTTTGCTTTGTCTATTTTATTACCTACTATATTAATTATTATTATTTCGTTTATTTCGTTGAAAATAGATAATTATCGAAGCTCCTATGTATTAAAACGTGTATGAACATTCGCGAGGGTCATTAACAGTTATCAGCAAAGTTCGACACAAGGTCTGTGAATAATAATTTGGTTAAAAATTGCAAATTTCAATGTTAAACTAGGAAACACGGGTATTTAACAATTCTTTATAATTTATTATTCAATTTTTTTTTTTTTGACTCTAGAGGAATTTTTGAAGTTCCTTTAGTGAAAAATTGAAAATTATCTACGAAATATCGTGTTCAATATTGCCCATTAATATTGGGGCAATATTGTCACAAATTTTGAGAGAAAATATTTTTATTATTTCCACCCTGTGGGAAGATTGCCTGGTAATGTTGGCACAACATTGACAGGCACACTGCAAAAAAGATTTATTTGATTCTAATAATATTGATTATTTGACTATTATTATCAATCAAATATTTACTTGAATCAAACAATTTTTATTTGAGTCAATTAAATGGTTCAATTAATATTTGTTTGAAATACTAAAATTAATTATTACAGGGTTGCCAGAAGTCAGGGAATTCAGGGAAAAGTCAGGAATTTTCATTAAAAGTACTGGAAAAAATTAAATTTTTAGAATTTATATGAACATTCTGAGTTTTGGTGTATTTTGTTTAATAAAGATCTTTGCAAAATTTCAATTATTTTCAAAAATTTCCCTCATTTCAATTATTTTTAATATCTACTATTTTAATAAAATTTTACAAAAGAATTCTATTATTTAAACAAAATTTTATAATAAAGATTTTACAGGAATTCAAATACATACCAATTTTTTATATATTTCTTCCCACCAATTCAATAATTTTTAATGAAGTTTTTCCAAATAATAAATTCAAATATATTCAGAGAATTAAAAAAATATTTCTGAAAAATTTAATTATTTCGAAAAATTTAAATAAAATTCTTTTAAAAATTTTATTATTTAAAAAAATTAGTACTAAAAAAAATGTTGAGAAAATTCTTTACAGGATTTAGTTAATAAACTTGCAATTTTAATAAAATTTCTCTATACAATTCAATTATTTTCAATACAATTCTTCTTGAGAATTCAATTATTTTCACAAATAATACATTTTTTATGGGAATTCAATTATTTAAAAGAAATTTGAATTAAATTTTTCGCTAGAAATCAATTATTTTTATAAATAATAAAATTTTTCTTGAGAATTCAATTATTTTTACAAATAAAATTCTTTACAGGAATTCAATTCTTTAAAAAAATGTTTAATAAAATTCGTTGCAAGAATTCAATTATTTTCATAAATAACAAAACTTATCGGAGAATTTCAATTATTTTTTATACAATTTTAAATACAATGACAGAAAATTGCATTTATTCTTAAAATTTTTTTTTAAAATTCACCGAAAGAATTCAATTACTTTTAAAAATTTTGATAAAATTCTTCATAAAAATTCAATTTTAAGAAATATTCAATTATTAAATAAATTATTTATTTTTGTATATACATAATTGAACTCTCGAAAAATTATCTAATAAAAATTTATTAAAAAATGAATTTAAGGTTTCAGTAATTAATAATAATTAATTACTAATAAATAATTAGCAATTAATTAGTAATAATTATTAGTATTAGTATTAATTATTAGTAATTAATTAGTAACTAATTAGGAACAATTATTAGTATAAATAATTATCAATTAATTAGTAACAATTGTGCAGTAATAAATAATTAGTATAAATAATAATAGTAATTAATTGGTAATAATTATTAGTAAATAAACAACTATACTCTCTAAATCTGAATTAGTAGTTTTCTATTATTGAAATAATGTGGTTTCGTTTAACAAATTGAATGAGTTCATTAAAATTAAATTAAAGTTAGTAAAAATTAATAAAAAAAAAAATTATTTTAATTACTAGTAAACATTTAGTAATTAATTAATTAAAATTAAATTAAAATTAGTAAAAATTAGTCAAAACTATTAGTTATTATTAATTATTTTTGACTAATTTTAATTTAATTTTAATTAATTAATTACTAATTTTTTACTAATTAAAAAAAATTTTTTTTACTAAGTTTTACTAATTTTAATTTAATTTAAATTAATTAAATAATTAATTACTAATTATTTACTAATTGTTTCTACTAATTGTCAGTTGAAAATATTTACCTTTCTGTAAACAAGAGCAGAGCACGCTACTCTTACTCTCATGCCCATGTGTTGAGAAAATTGATTAGTGTGATGCATAAATGCACAATTGAGATAAAGCACAATTACTAATCCAGCGGCGTAACCCAGTACTTCCTCCTTTGTTTCTGTGCCCCCTTGTTCGCCATCTTTAAAATAGCCGATCACCCATTTTTGAAGAACTGGCATAATTGTTTGTACTATGAGAATAAAAAGTAATAGAAAAAATGCGTGAACCACTAGAGACCACTTGAAACATCTAATTAGAGCCCATATCAAATTTGGCATTTTTCCTTTTTTCTTCACTTTCCTGCCATCCGTTTCTTTTAATTCGTATTCTAGTAATTTCAATTTTTCAAGCTCCTTGTCCCACTCTCTATAAAAAAAATTAATTTATATTATTGTAAAATGCCTAATGAACAAACATTCGACACTAATGAATATTATATTACTAATCACTGCCTAATTATTATTACTAATTAACATTATTACTAAATGTCTAATTAATATTATTAATTAACGCCTGATTATTACTGATAAATGACTAATTAATATTGTTACTAAATGCCTAATTAATATTACTAAATCCCTAATTAATATTACTAAATCCCTAATTAATATTATAACTAAATGCCTAATTAATATTAGCAATAAATGCCTAATTATTATTGTTACTAAAAATGCCTAAATAATATTAGTAATTAACATTATTACTAAATCAGATTTGCCACAAAAATTTAACTTTATTTTTCTCTGATTTCCAGAAAAAATTTTGACTTTTTCCCTGACCCTAATGAATATTTTAATTCACTCTAAAAATTATTCGATACTCAAAAAATTTTTCTATTGCATTAATTTACGAATTTCTTCAGTTGTAAAATTACTCGAAAACATCAATATTTTGTTTTTAAATAAATAATTTATAATATAATTATTTTCCCACAGCAATTAAAATTTTCAAAAATTTCAAATTTAAACCTTCTTGAAATAGAACAATTAATAAGAATATTATTATAAAAAACCGAGTGATAAAATCATTATTTTATATTATAATATTTATAATATAATTTATTTACTGTAACTTTTTCAAAATTATTTTCATTTCAATTCAATTATATTATTATCGACAGAATTTTTAAATAAAATTCTTTTTTAAATCAATTATTTTTAATAATTTTTAAAAAAGTTCTTTGAGAATTTTCAATTCCAATTTTTTACAATTCATTTTTACGAAATTTCATCGATTATTCGGAAATTCTTCAATTAAAAATATATTTGAAAATGAAAACTTCAAATAATTTAAAAAAATAAAATTCATTCTACAGAATTGTTAGTTAAGTATGAAGAATTCAGATTTTCAAAAATTTTAATTTGTAACCTTTTCAAAAATAAATTATTTTTAAAAATTAATGCTACAATGCTTTTAATATTCAATTATTATCTAAAATTGTACTTGAAATTTATTTTTAAAAAAATTTCTATTACAAAATTCTATGAAAAATTTTGAATACAAAAATAATTAATTTAATAATTCAATGTTTCTTAAAATTGAATTCTCATAAAGAATTTTATCAACAAATTTTTAAGTAATTGAATTGCTTCGACGACTTTTAATAAAGTTTTTTAAAATAATTATATTTTTCGAGGAATTCGATTAAAATGTATTAAAAAAAAAATTGAATTTCTGTAAAATTTTTATTATTTATGATAGCAATTAAATGTTTACGTAGAATTTTATTAAAATATTAGATATTTAAAATAATTGAATTGAGGACAATTTTTGAAAATAATTAAAAATTCGACAAGAATTTTATTAAAATTTTTGAAAATAATTAAATTTCGGAGAAGAATTTTATTATTTATTTAAAGATAATTGAAATTTTGATAAGAATTTTTAAAAAATTGTTGAACATAATTGAATTTCTGCAAAGAATTTTATTACTTTTGAAAATAATTGAATTTCTGAAAACATTTGTAACTTCTCTAAAATTCAATTTTTTTAGTGTTTTTAATTATAATTCTATAAATCCGTTTTTTAATAATTAATTAAATATATTTGAAAAAATTTAACTAATTTATTTGAAAAGAAATTATTGTCAGAAATAGAAAAAATTCAAGGTTTTGTATTAGAATTTAGAAATTCAGAATTTTCTTATGAATTCTAAAAATTTAATTTTTTCCAGTACTCTTAAGAAAAATCCCTGACTCTTCCCTGATTAATTCTACTTTTCCTGATTTTTCCCTGACTTCCCTGCGAGCAGTAGTATTATCCTGTGAATTCCTAATTAATATTATAAACAAATAACTAATTAATTTTATAAATTACTGCCTAATTAATTTAATAAATTTTCCTCAATCGATTAATATTTTTTGTTTCTATTTAATTTAAATTAACCATTTATTAATCACAATTAAATTTTTTTCACCTTTCTAACTTGTTTCCTACATATTGAGATTTATCTGTTTCCAGTGGTTCAAACAAATCTGTCATCTGCAACTCTTGCTTTATTCCTTTATATAATAATTTTCTCAACCACCTGCAAAGTAATTACATTAATTACTTTTAAAACCAATTTTTCGAGATTTTAAAAATACTTAATAAAAAAAACCCTTAAAAATATTCCATTACATTTTTAATACATTCTTCAAATTCACTTTATTAATTAATGATAATAATAATAATAATAATAATAATAAAAATAATAATATTATTTATTTATTTTCCTTTTCTTTGTTTTGAATATTCGTTTTAAAAAGTACAGGGAAAATAGTATTTTTTTTCTATTTGACATAGAAAAAAATAAATGTGTCTTTGTGTAAAAGTTTACAAGGTAAATTATAAAAAGAAATAATATACGCATTTTGTTGTTCACAATTATATAGAATAATTTGACATTTGTTAACCAATTGAAAACATATATGTAAAGGTTATTTAACTGTGATAACAATTTTTTTATCTATTCAAACTACACTTATCATATTATATTTCTTGGGAGAATATTAACATTAGATTATATTATGAAATATAGCATTTAAGCAAAAATCTATTATTCTGTGAAAAAGTGGTATATTTACAGGAGCACTTTTTCATACTCAAAATAATTTTATTTGATAAAAAAAAATTTTATTACACTATATTTTCTTTTAATGAAAATTTCAATTTTCATTTTAAAAAAATAGTGTAATAAAATTTGTTTTTCCAGGAGAAGGAAAATTTTTTCCAGTATGCATTGAAAACAAAGTATAAACAATGTGAAGAAAAAAATGTATTAAAAATATAATAAAGTGGAACTACTTATCACTAACAAAAAGAAACACTTATATATGTGTCACATAAAAATGGTTTTATTTTAATAAGAGGAAAAAAATTAATAAATTATTTTGTAATAATAAATATTTTATTTATGAATAGATTTCACATAAAAATTAAATTTTAAATAGGAAACAGAAAAAGGAAATTAATAAACTATTTTCTTTCATTTTTGAATATGTATGAAAATAATAGTTAAATAAGTAAAAGATAAAAAAAAATTAAGGAAATATTTTTTAATAATGAATATTTAAAAAAAAAATACTATTTCAGTAAGTAAAAAGTAAAAAAAATTAATCAATTTTATAATAATAATTATTATTAAAATTAAAATTAAAAAATTAAAATACTTGAAATATTACGTACCAAAAATTAAGTTTACTGATGATATTTGCATTTTTAAGTGGACTCGATTTTTGTTGAATTTCAGTGCTATCCATTTTAATGCGTTTGAAAAATTGTCACTATAACTTGAATTTAATTTAAAACTGAAGTTAATTTATTTTGTTAACTTATTTGAATTTACAAAGTTCAAAAATTAAATAAATTATTTAATTGAATTCAAATTAATTAGTTAAACTTTAATTAATTTAATTTAATTTAATTAATTTAATTAATTTAATTAATTTAATTAATTTAATTAATTTAATTAATTTAATTAATTAATTTAACTTTAGTTAATTGAGCTTATATTAATTAATTGATCGCAATTCTAATAAAATAAAAGAACTGAATTACACATTTGAACAAATTATTCCTCGATAAATTGAACAATTATTGTTTAATAGAAAAAAAACAACGGAAACAAAATTTTTTTTTGAATTATTATCTTAATTATTGAAAATAAAAAAAAGTTTTTAAAAAAAAGAGTTAATTGTCACTTGTGGGTAAAAAATACATTTTCGAGTCAACGTTCAGAGTAGAACTGAATTGGTAGAAACATGTGTAGTTCTTATAAGTTAACACGTGACATGTGTCGTGCGCGTCTTAAGTTGAACTGATACAGATAATAAATATAATAATAAAAAATAGAAAATGATTAAGTCAAATACATTTTCATGGAGTGAAATGAATAAATTTATGCTGATGTCATTTTATATATATATATATATACATACGCGTTTGTGTGAAATGACATATTAATTCATTTTCAACAAATTGTTTGATAATCTCGTGCAATTATTGGAGAAAATTTTTTACTTTAATCAACATTTTATTGTCGTTGATGATTTTACAATTTTCCCCACTTTTTTTTATGGAAAAATTTCAATTAATTATAAACTCAAATTAAGCGGAGATTTTTTTTTTTATTTAGTTAACGCTATTGGAAAAATTAATTTGACTGAAATAATCGATTAAAAATTAAAATAATTTTCCTTTCAGTTACGAATTAATTTATTAATTAAAATTAATTAGAATAAAATTAAATTTATTAATAGTAAGTAATAAGTAATAATAAATAAATAATAAATAAAAAATAAAATAATAAAAAGAAATAAATAAAATTAAAATTAATTAAAAAAAAATTTTCTACTAAAATTTCTAATATTGTAAAAAATAAAATATAATTTTGTGTAATTTTTGGGATCATTCATAATTTTTTATACCAAAAAAAAATTTATTTGACTCAAATATAACTACTTGTCTATAAATAAATATTTACTTGACTCAAATAATTTTTGATTAAATGAAATAAATTGTATTTGAAGCAAATACTATTTCCGAGACTATTTCATTGACTCAAATAAAAATTATTTGACTCAATAAGTAAATATTTAATTGATAGCCAAGTAATTCGTTATATTTAAATCGAATAAATTTTTTTTCAGCGTAAAGAAAAATGTATGAGGACAAAAATTAAACGAACTTTAATAAATGCCAATTTTATTATATTTCTTTCTATTCAAAATTGAGTAGAGAGAATATTTTTTTTGTCTGAAAATATTAATTTGTAAGATTAATATGTCAGAATTTTAAGGAAATAATTAATCTCTCAAAATTTAAATTGGTATGAAAAATCCACTAATTAAAATTTTAAGTAATTACTTTTTTATTTACTATTCAATTATTATTATTATTAATGTTATTCAATATTTATTTATTTAATTATAGATTATTAACAATAAAAATAAATTAATAACTGATTTAAAGTAGTAAAAATTAATAAAGAATCAAATTAACAAATTTACTATTAGTAAATAAAATTAGTATAAAATTAAAAACTTTTTAATTTATTATTCTATTTTTGGAAATTGTTTTTTAAATTATTGTAATTTAGTTTCAAATTATTTTTTACTAATTTAAACTAGTAAAAATTTCTAGTAATTTACTTTTTTTTTTAATTTTGAAGTACATTTATATTGTTTTGAAACTTACTGCTGATTAAATTTCCCGAAGACGTTAAATTTCAATTATAAATGTGTTGTTATTCGCTAATTATTAATTAGTAATCCATCAGCGATTTTGATAATCCGAGGTAGTCTAATCTTAGCGGAGACATTTACGATTATATATTCATAGGAGAGGGAGGAAAGCATTTTTTTTTCAAATTTAAAAATTTTTACTTAGAATTCTTCAAAAATGCTTCAAAATAATTTTGAAAAGTAAAAAATTTTTACAAAAAAGCTTCAAAATAATTTTTGAAGAATTCTAAGTAAAAAATTTTTAAATTTAAATAAATTTTTAAATTTTAGAATATAAAATTTATTTCAACTAAATTTGACAAAATTTTCAAATAAGTGAAAATTTAATGAATTCTTTTAAATTTTTATGTGAATTTATCTTTCAAAAATTTTAATTACAATTTTTCAAAAGACTAATGTTCTTTATGAGATTTTTCTATATGAGATATTTATGATTCTTATTCTTATTTATCTTTCTACAAGATTTAAGAAATTGAATAATTTTAATGTAAAAGCTTTTTGAAATTTTATACTATTCCTAAAAAGTACAACTATAATTCTTTCAAAATTAAATTAAAAAAAATAAAAAATAAATAATTATACTTTCTTTAATTTTTATTTTTCTAAAGAATTTTATTAAAATTTTTGAAAAGAATTGATTTATTATTTTTTTGAGATGCCAAATTTTTTAGAGTGATAAAATTTTTTCAGGAATTTAATAAAAATTGCAATAAAAATAATTGAAACCCAGCGAAGAATTTTATTATTTGTGAAAATAATTGAATTGCTCTGGAAAATTTTATTATTTGTGAAAATAACTGAAATATTTCGAGGATTTTAATAAAAATTAACATAAAAGTTATTAAATTCTTATAAACAAATTTTATCAAAAATTTTGAAAATAATTACATAATTTTTTTCATAAAATTTTATTAAAATTCTTTAAATAATTGTCTTTAGAATTTTTTTTCCTAAAATTATATTTTAAATAACTGAATTCTAGTGAATATATTATTATTTACGAAAATAATTGAATTTTTGCTAAAAATTTGTTATTAAATTTTTTTAAACAATTTTAAACAATTTTTAAACAATAATTTAATTTTAGCGAAGAATTTCATTATTTGTGAAGATAATTTAATTCTTGCAAAGAATTCTATTATTTGTGAAAATAATTTATTTCTTGCAAATAACTTTATTATATTATTTATTTAAAAAATTGTATTGCTGTGGAAAATTTTATTATAATTTTTAAAAATAATTGAATTCCTGCGTAGAATTTTATTATTTTTGAAAATAAGTTGAAATCTTGTGATCAATTTGATTATTTTTGAAAATAATTGATTTTTTCGAAGAATTTAAAAAAAAATTTTAAGAATAATAACATTTATTGAGAGATTTATTAAAAATTGCAATAAAAATAATTGAAACCCAGCGAAAAATTGTATTATTTGTGAAAATAATTAAATTCTCGAGAAGAATTTAAAATTTTTGAAAATAATTGAGTTTTTTTTAAGCATTTTTAAAAAAATTTTTGTAAATAATTGAATACTTTCGAGTAATAAGAATAATTGTATAAAAAAATTAATATTAACAATAAAATCAATAACATCTGTAATTATTATTTAGAACTAATTATTAATATTATTAGCATTAATAAAAAAAGGTGAAAATAACGAAAGAAAAAATAATGTAATAAACTTTAATAATAAAAAAGCAATTGAAAGAAAATTTTGAAATTGGAAAATTCCCTATTTTCCTCTATAATGTAATGAAATATATCTATATTTTTGCTATATACATGTGTAAAAATGTATTTACAATGAAACAAGAGTGAAGATTTCTAGTGTTATTATTTCCCGCCTTAATGATTGCGCATGACTCATTTATAAACCACCTTAAAATTAAGGCCGTACCTTCATAGCGCGATGTTTAAAAGTATTCTAATAAAATTTTTCCACTTAACAAATAAATATCATTTATTCAATAATAAATAAAATAATTAATAATCTAAAACCTAAACAATGATAATCTTTATTATAATTAAAAATTCTTTGTTCTCTACTCAAGGTTTATTCTTCTTTATTTTATCGAGGGATAATCATTGAAATTCGATATGACAACGTTGGAATGTTACATTCCATTTTGATAATGGCAACACTGTCAGTTGAGTCACCCCCATTCCTTCCATGCACTCGCTTTCAACTTTTGTCTGTAAATGACCCTGTAAGTGACCAGGCAATAACCTTTTAGTGGTGCTAATACCTGTCAAAACCTGTTGATTTTTTGCAAGAACCATCAAAATTCCATCAATAATCAATATTCTTTGTAAGTGTTATTCATAAATTTTCATTGTTAATAATTATTTTAAAAAAACAGGACAATGAACTCAGTTTCTTGTGTACAATTGTTGACTATATACATTTGTCAAGTGCAACATGTGTTTTATTAGCGTAAATTTTTGTTTATTTAAACTTTTTTTTGCTTCTTTTTGGTGAAAATTTGCATTTTTATTATAATTTTTCCTTTTTTTGTATTTTTGCTACTTTTGCAATACTTTAAGACGCTTGTTTATTACTTTTTTTTTACTAACTGTTTAGTGAATAATTGTTACTTGATAAACTTTTATGATTCTTTTTGTTTATGGCAAAATTTTCGATTTCTAAAATCAAAATTATTAATAGAGTGGAATTATTAGTGAAGGAAAAAAATTCTACGAAATAGTAAATTAAACTTTATGGAGTAATTTTTGGAGTAAATTTAGAATTTTTTTATGCAAATTTGAGATAAAAAGTTATAATAATTTTATATTTGTGAGTAAAGATAGGAATTGTTAATTATTATTTATTTCTGTTAACTAAAAATGTTTGTGGAAAAAAATTGACTAAAGGGTACGATTTTATTTCTTCTACAATGTGGGAAATGATATTGAATTGTAAATTTTTTGGGGGTAAAAATCACCACCGTAGTTTCTATTATTAGTCTTCTTCAAATTCCCTTTCAACCTTGTTACGATTTAAAGACAGGAGTAGATTTTATTCAATCCCTTCTTCTAAATAACAGCCATGGACATAGATTTTAAATTACGAATTTTTTTTTTTAATACTTTTAACAATAATTTTAATAATTTTAATAATTTTTTTTTCATAACATTTACTAAATTTTTTATTTAATCGAAAAAGTTTGCAAAAACTAATTTTCTAATTATTTTTCAAGAGGATACTTTATATTTTGACAGAAAAATTCCTTCATCTCTTCGCGAGATTAAAAAATCTTAAGATATAATAAAAACCCCACCTTCTATTTCCTTTAGAGTATGCTTATGGACAAATTTCTAAATTGGATGATGCAATCACATATTTGCATCTTTTTAAAATTTGTTTTGAACAAATTAAAAAAGAAATTTCTGAGTTTTTTTAGAAAAAGAAATTATTTTGCTCGATCTGTTTTTTCGAGAATAGATGCAAAGGAAGAAAATTATTTCTATTAAATATAATAGATTTCGGAGTAAAAAGAAAATACATAGGACTTATTTTAAGACAGACGGGAGGTCTTAAATTAAGATCAGTGATTTTTAATTCGAAGCAATTATTTTTGTATTTGAAAAAAATTGAATTTACTTTATTACTAATATGAGATTGTTATTAATTTGAATAAAAATTTAATTTATTTAAATAAAGTTTGCTTTATAGAAATATTCGATATACTTATCTTAAAGTAAGATTAATTTTCAATTAAAATGAATATAAACAGAACTGAAAAAAAACTTATTTCATTTATATTTTATAAAAATTTCAATTAATTTACAAATAAATATTGATAATATAAAATAAATATTTTTATAAAATGTTTTTTCATTAGTCTAACTTTATTTTTTCTTACTCAATTATTTTTTTATATTAACAATATTATTTAAATTCATGTTTATTTTATTTTTATTTATAATTTATTTTTTACAAATAAATATTTAACAATATCAAATAATTATTTGTATCAAGACATTAAATTGTTGATTTATTAAAATGTTCAGTAAAAATAATTAAAACCCCGCGAAGAATTTTATTATTTCTGAAAATAATTGAATTCTTGCAATTACTTTTATTATATAATTGTTTTTAAATAATTATATTTTTGTGGAAAATTTTATTATTATTTATAAAAATAATTGAATTCCTGCGTAGAATTTTATTATTTGCCAAAATAATTGAATTCTTGCATTAGAATTTTATTATGTTTTGAAATAATTGAATTCTTGTGATAAAGATTATTTATAAAATTAATTAATTTTTTTCGGAGAATTTTAACAATATTTTTAAGAATAATATCATTTTTCGAGGAATTTAATAAAAATTTCAATAAAAATAATTGTAATCCAGCAAAGAATTATTTTTAAATTAAAATTTTTGAAAATAATTGAGTTTTTTTAAACATTTTTTTTTATAATTTGTGAAAATAGTTTAATTCTTGTAAATAATTTTATTACCTATATAATTGTTTTTAAATAATTGTATTTTTGTAGAAAATTTTATTATTTATAAAAATAATTGAATTCCTGCGTAGAATTTGTCAAAATAATTGAATTCTCGAGAAGAATTTTATTAAATTTTAAAAAAATTTTTATTATTTGTGAAAATAATTGTATTCTTGCGAAGAATTTTATTGTTTGCGAAAATAATTGAATTCATGCAACTAATTTCATTTTGTTTTCAAATAATTGAATTCTTGTGATAAATATTATTATTTATGAAAATAATTTAATTTTTTCGAGGCTAAACAAATACCCAAATACCTAGTTGCAAAAATAATTGAGTTTTTTCGAAGCATTTATTATAAAATGTTTTGAAAAATAATTGAATAATAAAAAATGTCAAAATTAGAATATATTAAATACTTTTTTTAATGGAAAAAATTAAAATTGAATTCTAGATTTAGTTTTAAAATTAAAGTTGGGATAAAATCTTATTTTAAGACCAAATTAACGAGGTAAATATTTATTTTAAGTGCAAAATTAATTTTGAGCTGTTAATGCCCAAATTAATTTCCTAAATTAATATTTTTTCGCACTATATCTAATGCTAATAAAAGGAAATTTTTTCACTAAATGACATTTTTTTGATACAGATTTTTTACACAATAACAACAACAATAGATCAGATCTGATCTCTATCAGAAATTCTACAGTCAATAATTTACAACAATAATGAACCAGAAGGATCGTCAAAGAATTGATTTATCCTGCGAGAAAATCGCACGTGAGGTGGACATGAACATCTTATTGTTCAAATTACTAGAGAACAGAATATTTAATTTCGACGATTGTAACATCTCCGCCTGGAAAGTATGCTTTTTTTATTTATTACTTAAAAAAACTGTCTATTTTTATTTAAATTTTTTTTCGAATTTCATTTTGATTAATAACCGACATGAATTAAAAAAAAATTATACGAAAGTTGGACATTTTTTCAACTTCTGTTATAAAATAAAAAAACAATATTACTATTTTTATCAAAATATTCAATTAAGTTAAATATTAATAATTAATATTCAATTTAAATTAAATATTGTCAATTAATATTCAGTTTAAATTAAATATTGATTACTAATATTTAATTTAAATTAAATATTAGTAATTAATATTCTAAGTAATTAGGCATAAAGTATTAAAAAAAAATAATTGTCGATGGTCGTAGTTGTTAAGGCACGTGAATTAGTGAATTGAACTTAGGGTCGTTGGTTCGATCCCCAAAGCTTTTAGAGATCATAAAAAAATCAAAAAATAAGAATTAATAATTTATTCATTCATTTATTTATCCAAATATATATTAACATTTATATACATATAAATTTATAATAAATAAATAGAATGTTAATTTATTGAGTTAAAAAAATAAAATATTAAAATTCCAAAATAATTATTATTTAAATTGAAATATTAAATTTTGAATAGAAATTCCGCTTGGAACTTTCCAAGAATAAGATATTGAATAAGAAATTAAAAATAAACTATTTTCTTTTTTGCAGGAAAATTTAAACAATAATGAAACAAAGAAACATATAGTTTTATGCATCAAAACACGAGGACCGTATGCTTTCAAAAATTTTCTAACAAGTTTGGAACAATGCGGTTATAACGATTTGGCAACAAATTTAAGCCAATTGGATATCGATTCAAACATTCCAACACAGGAGAGAATTGATTTTGAGGAAAATGCCACATCTTCAATAATTGATACTCCTTACGAAGAAAATTCAAATGACTAGTTAGTTTTTTTTTTTAAATAAGAACGTTGAAAATTAATAATGAATAATTAATAATTTTATTAAACATTAATCTTGATAAATAATTATTTACTTATATTTGAACTACTCGAGTGTTAATGTTCTTTTTAATTTTTTTAATATTTGAATTTTTTGTCTCTGTAAATTCAATGAATTTTATTAATTTAATTTATTTAATTACAATGAATTTAATTAACATATTAATCAATAAATTTATATATTAACTTAATTTTTAATTTAAATATAATAAGAGAAGTATTAAAATTTCTTTTTTCAGTGACTCACCCAATAGTTTCATATATCAGGAAGAACCATTGCAAATTGTCCTGAAAAAATCAAAATCATTTCTAGATGTACCAATGGCAGGAAAAAAGGATTTGGAGAAATACATAATGCGAAGTAAACCACGCGGATTAGTTTTGATTGTTTGCATCATCGAATATAGAATTTTAGAATCTAGAGAAAGTGCAAAATACGATAAAGTTAATTTGAAAAAACTTTTTGAAGAAATGGGCTTTGATGTCACTGTCACTCCGGAGTATTTGGAAAGAAAAGTAAGGAAGTTGAAAAAACAATTTTATTTTCAAACAAAAATTAAAAAATTCTTTTGTATATATGAAATTATTAATATTTATTTTTTTTTAAGGATTTGAGAAAAATTATTCAAAATTTCGCGAAAAGAAAGGAATTTTTAAATGTTGACTCCTGTTTTGTAATATTTTCTTGTCACGGAATTGAGGCTGGAAAACGTTGGGATGCAGAAGTGCAAACAAGTGAATGGTCTGAACACTCACAAGTACAGAAAGAAAAACTCTATTGTTCAGAAATTATTGAATATTTTAGTTCGACGAATTGCCCATCGTTGAAAGGAAAACCAAAAGTTTTCATGTTCCAAATGTGCAGGTAAGAGATTTTTTTTTTTATTCTTACATACTCATCTCCCGAAAAATTATTAGATATAATTGATTTTTTCTAAGACTTATTTTGAAAAAAGGAATTTGCTTTTTAGAAAAAAAAATTTAATATTTTTTATTGAAAATATTTTCAGTATAAACTTCAATTATTGAACATTTTCAAATTCAGATTATTTAAAATAATTCATTTAATATATTCAATTATTTTCTGAAATTTTAATAAAATTCTTCTGAGGAATTCAATTATTTTCATTACAATTTTAATAAAATTTCTCGAAAGAATTCAACTATTTTTAAAAATTGGAATAAAATTGATCGAAGGAATTAAATTATTCTCAAAAGTTTTAACAACATTATTTATAAGAATCTAGCACCTCAATTATTTTCATAAATAATAAATTATTTCGTGTGGATTCAATTATTTTAAGTATAATTTTTTAATAAAATTTCTCCAAAGAATTAAACTTTTTTTTAAATTGCAATAAGATTCTGAAAAATATTACATGATTTTTTAAAGAATTTTCATAAAATTCAATAAACAAATTTGTAAATACAATAAAATGGTTAAATAGAATTTTATATTCGGCCAATAATTTTAATAAAATTGTTAATTACAAGTATGAACAAAATCGATTATTTAAAAAAAAAATTAAAGAAATTCTTCGAAAGAATTCAATTATTTGCAATATTTTAATAAAATTTCTTGAACTAATTCAATTATTTTAATAAATTGTACTAAAAATCTAAGAAGAATTTAATTATTTTGTAAAAGTTTTAATAAAATTCAATAATCAAATGTTTAATTACCTACAATTATTAACAAACACGATTATTTTTAAAATTTGAAAAATTTCTTCATAAAATTTAATTATTTTCAAAATTTTTAATTAAAATTATTAAAAAAATCTCCATTATTTTTAAGAAATTCGAAGAAATTCTTTAAGACAATAAAATTATTTTCAAAAATTTTAATATAATTATTCGCAAGAATACAATTATTTCCAATATGAAATTCTTCACGAGAATTAAATTATTTTTGAAGACAATCATTTCTCGAACAAATTCAATTATTTTCAAAAATGTTGATAAAATTCTTCGCAAGAAACAAATGATTTTCAATACATTAATTTGAAAATTCAAAACATTTATAGAAAGAAAAATTATTTTAAAAAATTAAGAAAGCAAAAAAGCAGTTTTTATTAATACTTTTGAAAATAATTAAATTCTTTCGAGAAATTTAATTAAAATTATTGTACTGAAAGTAAATTAATTCTTAAATAATGAATTGTATAAAAAAGTTTTGATTTTGTATTCTTTTAAAGAAATTTATTGAAATTTAAAAAAATAATTCAATTCTTATAAAAAGTTTTTCTTAAAATTTTGTTGAATAAATTAACAGAAATTTTAACATAATTCAATTATTTTAAAAAATAATAATATTCTTCGGAAGAATTCAATTATTTTCATAAATATAATAAAAGCTTTTGCAAAAATTCAATTATTTTTATTACAATTCTAAAAAAAACATCGTGAAAGAATTCAACTATTGTCAAAACCTTTAAAAGTTAATAAAAAGAAAATTTCTTGAATGAATTAAATTATTTTAGAAAATTGTAATAAAATTCTTGAGAAAAATTGAATTATTTTCTAAAATTTTTAATAAAATTCAATAATTAAATGTATAATTTCAATACAATTGCTTTCAAAAATTGTTCAATTAAAATTATTTAAGAAACTCCATTATTTTAGAAGGATTCAAAAAATTCTTCCAAAGAATTTATTTAGGATTTTTTAAATATTTTAATAAAATTTTTCTTGAGAATTCAATTATTTTCAATTTTTTTTGATAAAATTCTCTGCAAAAATTCAATGATTTTCAATAGACATTAATTTTAAAATTGAATATATTTAAAGAGAAAAATAATTAAAAAATTTTGAAACAAAAAGACAAGCAATAAACTAATTTTAAACTGCGAACAAATTAACAGAACACAAAGATTATTAATATAGTTTTATTTTATTATTTTTAATTAAAAAAATAATTTTTTTTATCTTATTTTAACAGGGGAGACAAACACCAATTTTCGGTACCTTTTTCTAAATTCGCCACTGATGGAAAACCAATATATCAAAGTGAAGAAGGCAATGACGATTCAATTAGAGGTGTAGAAGGCAATGATAATACTAATGAAAGTGACATATTGCACAGAAATTATGAGGATACATTAATTGTTCACTCTACAGTTCCTGGACATTACTCATATAGAGACACATGTACCGGTGCTTGGTTCATTCAAATACTATGCAAAGTTTTCATGAGAGAGGCGTACCACAAACATTTGAAGGATCTCATAGACAGAGTGAGTTTTAATATTGGTTTTCCTTTTTTTTCTTTATATTTGGAAAACTTCTTTTTCTTTAAAAAATACTTCTTCTTTTTCTTCCTTTTTTTGTGTTTAACATTTTTTTTTCTTTTACTCAATTTTTAAATATTCTCTTCTATATTTTGATTTTCTCTTGTCAAGATAATAAAAATATTAATGAATAGAAAAAATTAGAAAAATGAAAAAAAAATTAAATCGATAATTTTTTTTACTTTTTATTGAATAGGTTGACCAAGAAGTGAAACGTTTAAGAACTGAACATAAAATGTGTCAAACAATTATCACTACCAGTATGGGTTTCTACAAGTTATGTTACTTAAATCCTGGATACTTTGGGGATAATAAATAAATCAGTGAATTTCTCTTATTTACCAAAGAGAGCAACAAAAAAACAGTGTTGTGAATAAATTTCAATGATTTCATTTCTAATCAATGAAATTTAAGCATAACAACTATTGTAAAAAATAATTCTTTTCAACACTGGAATATCAATTTAAGGGTTTCGATAAATTACTTAACATCACTTGTCGAAATTTACAAATTTTCGCATTATTCAATTCGAATCACATTCTTTAATTTATTAACTGAAAATTAAATATTTACTATATAATCTAATTCTGAAATCAAATTAAAAGATTAAATCAAATCATTTTAGCAACTGATGAAATTAAAAAGTAGCAAAATCAAAATGTAAATTATAATTAAATTGATTTGTAAAATCGAAAATAAACTATTAAATTAGTAGAATTAAAAATAAATTATAGTTAAATTAGTAAAGTTTTAGAAATCAAATAATCAAATAACAGATCAAATAATTATAATAGTTTGAACTTTCAAAAATTCTAAATTAATAGTATTTAAAAATTACCAGAAAAATAATTCATTTAATTAATCTCGACAAGTGGTGACAATGCCCTTAAATCCTAGAGAACAAGTATTTATTCCTCTTAAGTAAAAATTTTTATTTTCTTTAATTATAAGAAAATTTTTTAGAAACACGAGTTTTATTTTATAATTTACTTTATAAGGTATCGTTTCCTTTTTTTTAATTAATTTTCAGATTATTCTGTTAATTTTTATTCTCAAATGAAAATTGTTGATTTATATTATATTATATCATTATTATATATTATATATAATTTGCTCAATTAATAATATTGTTGATTAATAATTAATTTAAAAAGTTGAAAATTAATTTTAAAAAAATTAAATCAATTAAAAAAAAATTTAATAGGTAAATTTATATATTTTGTAAAATTTCAAAAGAAAATGTAAATTGAAAATATTTTTCCTTTGAAGAAATTGAAAATTTGTGATAAAAGAATCCTAGTCTAATTTTAACATGTGAAATTTTTTTCGTCGATTTAGTGTGTAGAAATAAATTTAATATTTTTCTAAAATTTCTCTTTATGGAAAATTTCTCCGATTCTTCTTTTATTTTTTTTTACTATGGTATTAATTAGATATAAATTTTTGTCTATTAAATATTTAGAAACAAAATTTTCTAAAATTTTCTCCGTTTTTTCTATATTTAGCAAAAATTCTTCTTATTTATTAAAGATAATTATTTTATAATTTTTGATAACAAAAAATTGTCTAAATTTAGTTTTCCATTATTATTTAATTTGATTTGAATTTGAGAAACCATGACAATCTGAAAATTATTCTATAAAAAGGTAAACAATAATTTAAATGTAAAGTATATAATAAAAACACGTTTCTAGAAAATTAATAAATTTTATAAACATAATCAGTTAGGTTTTAAATAATAAAATGTGAAGATAACAATCACATCGAGTCAAGGATATACACGAACTGATAATTATCTCTACATTCAATATTACTTAATATCTCCATTGTTTATAAATATTTTTTCGCTTAGTCATTAAATACTTAAATGAATATTAATACTTATAAATTAATTACTTAAATTAATTCACGTGTAAAAGAAAATTTTCTAATTTTCTCGAAAATGTTTCTAAATACTTGTTTAAAAATATTACTGGGAGAATTTATTTTTAATTATAAATTCCAGTGTAAAGAAAATAATACGAGACAAAGAACAAATTAAGTCAATGCAGTAGATGTTGATGAATATTTTTTTTGTAGAAAAATTATTAGAAATTCGACATAGAATGTATTGTCTTCGAGATCATTATTTCGTTTTGTGCTCCAACATCTCCTTGCATTTCTTAATTGTATTTAAAAAAAATTAGTGTACGTTAAGAGACTGTTTTTACTTTTTTTTCAGTCTCTTAACATTTACTATTAAGTTCAATAGTTAATTTCTTTATCTCTTTTATTAAATTATTATAAATTAGAATCTAAGAATGTGCAAGTCTTCGAACATTAATTAATTTCATTTGTGCTATTTATAGTTTTTTCTGTCCCTCGCTCAATGTCTTCGCTCAACCCTTTGCATTTCTTTATATTTTCTTATTTAATGTAAGGCATTTAAAATTCTAGTATGTTAAAAGACTGTTTTTAAAATTAAATTAATTTAAATTAAATTAAGTCTATTAACATTAAAAGAATTTCTATTTTTACTTCTAATGAAGTTTAATTTAATTTAAAAGTTATTTTTAACTATAAACATGTTTATTTATTGTGTTGATTCATAAAAATGTTTGTAAAGACTGTTTTTTATCGAATATTTTAGAAAAAAGAGATTTCTAGCAATAATTATATTATATTATATATTATATTAAAAAAACGATTCTATATTGTCGATAAAATCGACATTTCGATTTTTATCATTCGATTTCTTGTCTATTTATCGACAAATTCGAGGATTTTTGAAAAATTCTGTATTTTCAAAAGATTTTTTAGAAAACCTTGATTAGTGCAATTTTTATACTGCGCAATTTTGTAATTTGTAAATACAGATTATTTTCAAGAGAAATTTATTTCATTTCTTTCCATTCACAAAATTTCGATGATTCAAATTTTCTATTAAAAAAAAAAAGAAAAAGTGTCTCGGAGGAAATGAAAACAGTGTTTTTGAAATTATATAATTATGTATTTTGACATTACAGTATTACAAGATCGATTTCTTTAAGGTACAGTCTACAATAATTGAACATTAATATTCGAGAGGAACACTTGTGTTTTGCTAATTAACTTCAATTGGAATCTGAGAACAATTAACTAATTATGATAAATAACTTGTTATTTTTATCAAATAGTTAAAATTACAATTACACTGCGCGATCGAATTCTTATATCACTGAAATACTGTTTTTGCTTCTCTTTAAAAAAATTAAATATCTACAAAATTCTCATTTTTTTCTCGAAAACATAAGGATGATAAAAAATTCTCTTTCTTTTTTCTCTGAATCGATATATTTTGATATTCAAGCATTTCGATTAAAAGTTAACAAAAAACAATTAACTCTGATCATTTCTTTCTATTTATAAAATTTTGATCCACGGTGAAAAAAAATCTATAAAAAAATGTTTATTCTAAAAATGTAGAAAAAAGAATGTATTTATAAATGGTTGAAAAAAAGTGGCTAAAAAATAATTTCCGACGCAAAAAAAAAAAAATAGAAATGAAGTTTTTCTTTGAAGTAAAATTTTCTTTAACTACGTAGATGAAAACGGAGATGAGTGATAAGTAAATGGAGCAAAGTTAAATTATAGTTCGTGTGCGATAAACAAAACAAAAAAACATTGTGAAAATTTACGCGCGAACACTCTTTTTACCTGAATTTTGTTTTTACACTGTGAGTCATATTCATCACTTTTATTCATTGAGAAAAAAGCCGTTGTTTTTTTAAAAATTATTTAATACAGAGATTCAGCGTTTGATGATCGCGGTCGTTTGATCTTCTCCAAGTTTTTAATGACAAGATCATGAAGTGCGCAATAACGATTACGAATTTCGCACATAACGAGCCACAAGCTTACGTATTCTTTTTCGTCAAGTTCCTGAATTGCTCGCCTATAATCGGCAACGTGGGGATACTTGGCGACTTTACTCAGAATTTTTCCTCTCGATACAAAATACCTGTGAAATTTTAAATTTGATGAATTTATTTGATTTAAAACAATTATGTAGTTTAATGGAAACAAAGTCTATTTCTACTGAATTATTTTTATTATTTTAAAAGTAGATTGGATTCTCTTGAGAAGTTTTAAATGTTCAAATGAATGAAATATTTTTATATAAATACTGCGATTGCAATAACAGGGTTGCCACAAAACTTTAATTTTATTTTTCCCTGATTTCCAGACAAAATTTTCACTTTTTCCCTGACCCTGAAGAACATCAATAACTTCTTTTTTAAATAAATATTTAATCATTATTATTTTTCTATAGGAATTAAAATTCTCAAATTCAATAACTTATGAGAATATTATTATAAAACATGAAGAAATTTAAGATGAAAGAGTGATAAAATAATTATTTTATATCATAATAATATTGTAACTATAAATTCAAATTTTCAAACATTTTAATTTGAACCCTTTTCAAAATTCAATTATTTCTTAAAATTCACACAATAACTCTTCTAATATTCAATTATCTAAAATTTTGCCTGAAATCCATTTAATAACTTTTTATTAGAAAATTTTTCGAGAATTCAAATTCAATTATTTAAATACCAAAATAAATAATTTATTCAATAATTGAATATTTCTTAAAATTGAATTTTTATGAAGAATTTAATCAAAATTTTTAAAAATAATTGAGTTCTTTCGATGAGTTTAAAAAAAAAATTTTAAGAATAAATGCAATTTTCTATCATTATATTTTAAATTGTATAAAAAATAATTGAAATTCTGCGATAAGTTTTGTTATTTGTGAAAATAATTGAATTCTTGCAACGAATTTTATTAAACAATTTTTTAAAGAATTGAATTCCTGTAAAGAATTTGTAAAAATAATTGAATTCAGGAGAAAAATTATATTATCCATGAAAATAATTAATTTCTTTCAAACAATTTTATTCATATTTTTTTAAATAATTGAATTTTTTAGAATTTTTTAAAAACTTTTTGAAAATAATTAAATTCCATCGAGGAATTTCATTAAAAAATTGAAAATAATTGAAATATGACAAAGAAATTTATTAAATTTTTTTTAAATAATTGAATTACTGTGAAAAATTTTATTTTTGAAAATAATTAATTTCTTGTGAAGAATTTTATTCAAAATTTTTTAAATAATTGAATTTCTCAGAATTTTTTAAAAACTTTTTGAAAATAATTAAATTCCATCGAGAAATCTCATTAAAAAATTGAAAATAATTGAAATCTGAGAATGAATTAAAAAAATTCTTTTTTAAATAATTGAATTCCTGTGAAAATATTTATTTTTGAAAAGAAATTGAATTCTTGGGAAGAATTTTATTATTTATAAAGATAATTGAAATTTTGACGAGTTTTAAAAAATTTTTGAACATATAATTGAATTTATGCGAAGGAGTTCATCACTTTTGAAAATAATTGAATAAATCAGTTATTCTTAAAATTTCTATATTTTAATATTATAATATTCTTTATTTTCTATATTTCTTGTATAGCAATAGAAATTTAATTTGAAGAGGAAATGGATAATTTTCCTTCATTTGAACAATCAGAACTTTAGGATCATTCGAATTTTATAAATTAATTAAATTTATATTGGAATAGAATTAAATTTTGTTTTTTCTTTCAAGACGATTTAATAATTTGATTAATTTATTACCTGGAAATTTGATCGAAAAATGCAGCTGCTTCACTCTCTACAGCTTGAACTTCAGCGAGAGTGTCTTCTTGAATTGAGACCCCAAAGTTGTTTCCGTCTTCGATTTTTGGGATCATAAATGAAATCCACATTTTTAACTGTAAATTTGACAAAAGAAATGGTATCATTACTTATGCTATTAATAAAATAATTACACAAATCGAAAAACAGAAAGTTACTCGGTATTTTTTTAAATATATTCAAAGTGCTAATTTGTACAAAAACTTAATAAAAAGGGCACACATGTCATAATATTGTTAGTATTATTGCTTTAAAATAATTATTACTCACAAGATTTGAATCTTCTAAAAGTTGTCTAATGTACGGTTTCACTATGTGTATTATATCGCAGATTGGTTTGTTGCATGGAACTGGTCCATTGGGAAGAACCATAACTTTGGTACCAGGTACATCTTCTAAATTATTTTCAACTCTTGCTCTTTTCGATGGTGGTTCTTCCTGGGAATGATTCAGAAGTATTGGCTCTGGAATGGGTATATTTAATTCCTGATGAACTTTTGATAGGTCTTGATGAGAAAAACCCGGTGTCTCCAATAGTTCATTGAGTTTGACAATTTTTTCCGGAAATCCCTTCACAATAAGTTGTTCCGCCTAAAAATAAAGCGAGCAGAAAAGTTGAATAAAAATAATTTACAAACCAAAATAAATTAACAAAAATAGAAAAAAAATACTAAATTAACATACACAAAAAAATAATAAATTTTAATAAATGAAAAGGAAATTGAAACAAACCTTCGTTTTCAGTGAATCCTTGTACTCTTGAACCTGTACAAAAATATTTTCGTAATTAAATCAAATATTTTATTTGAATACCACAGTTTTTAGTAATATTTACAAAACTCAAAATTTAAAAAAATGGTTTTTCAAAATTAAGCCAACCGTAGTGAACAAATTTCCTTTAGAATCGCCAATTTTCGCAAAAATACATTCAGAGATCCCTGATTCTTTATTTTGAGATGTGAATAAAGCGGGAAACATTTTTCTTAATTATTAAATTGCACTTTAATAAAAATTTAGAAGAAAAAATTAAAATTGTAAAAAAGTTTCAATAAAACGGTTAATTTGGAAATATTAAAGTATGATTTGAAATCTGACAAATTTTGATGTTGCAGGTTATCAAGTATCAATTGTTTATATTGGAAAAACAAATTTGACAAGTTTCGTAACATTAGTCAACACTGTAGAAAACAATTTAAAAAATTCATACAATTCACATTCATGTAGTTTTTATTCCAATGGGTGTAAAATAAAAATATTCAATACTTACAATTCTCTAGAACCAATTTACATAAAGTGCACTTTTAATAAATGAATAAAAATCCTGAATAGCAAAATTATAAAAAAAAAAAAATTCAACCGAAATTTTTACTTTTAATCTATACGGAGTGGAATAAAAAAATAATTTTAATTGACAATCGTGAATCACGAGAGTTTTCTCGATGATGACAAAGGAAGGACGCACTTAATTTACTCGAATATTGTCTTGTTTACGAACCACTCGGGATTATGAAAAAATTTCTATTAAAAAACAAAAAACTCCATTCCTCGTGAAACATAAGAATAGAAGAAAATATTTGCAGAGAATTTAAAAAAAAAATCTTTTGTCACGTAAAAACACATTGTTCAAACAGCTGCAACGATTTTGAGGTTAGAATTATTATAATGCTTTCATACTTTCTCTAACATAAATTAAACTAAAATTTCATACTTTCAATCGATTAGGCTTAATTAGATGAATGTTATTATTATAGAAAATGATAATAATATTACCGCAGATGAAGACAGCATTGTAAAAAATAAATACAGGATTGATTGTTAAAGTGTTGTATATGATAACCGGTCAATGAAAATACTAACCTCTCAAGAGGAGGGTTCATGCCAATCATTTCAGAATTAAAATTACTTCAATGAATATATTATATTTCGAGTAAATTGGGAAAATTATTAAAAAATTAAATTACCCTTTTTCCCGTTGCATCGTCCATTCTAAATTGTTAACAAACAAAACTTTGTAAAATACAACTACACTTTGATTAAAACGTGAAACTTCAAACAGGAAGTTGTAAGTTGCTTCACTATATTCGTCAAATGATTAATTGAAATTTCTTTTTTAATTATTAATAAATTGCATTTTATTGTCAAATAATTTATTAATATGTAATATTTAAATTATTTACTGTAATTAAATGTATTAATTTTTATTACTCAGAGATTATTTGTTATTAATTGTACAAGTGATCAAATTGGCGGGGAATTCGAAAAAATTCAAATATGAAATATCAACTTTTTTTATAAAAAAAAATAAAAATAACTTTTTTCTAATAAAAATAATCAAAATTATCAATTAATGAAAATAATCATTTAGCAAAATGAGATTAATTAAAATAATAATAAAATGGACAGTAAATAATGGAAAAGTTTCCATTTAAATTAAAATAATTATTGAAGCTATTTTATTACTTTTTTTAACTGAGTAAAAAAAATTAATAAACATAAAATGACAATTTATTTAATATTTAAAGAAAAATTATTATAATTAGCGAAATATTTTAAAAATTCCGCAAAAAAAGGAAACTTTTTCGATTTTAATATTTTTTTGATAAAATCGAAAATATACTTATTGAGAAGTCATGAAATAAATTATTTGTAAATAATTATAATTTAATGATTTATTTATATTTTCTACAATTTTTTAATTATGATTAAAATTACAAATTTTAAATTTATAATTTTAATTATAATTTCAATTATAATTATAATATTTCCAATGTTGAATGTTTTTTATTTTTTGATTTATAATTTTGTTAATTAATTATTTTAATCATGAATTCATTTTAATTGAATAATTAATTGACAAAATTCTAAATTAAAAAAATAATAAAGAACAAAAATTTTCGCAGTGAGAAATTTTTTGAAATAAATTAAGAAATTAATTAGTTTTATGTCAAATGAATTAAAAGAAAAATTAAAAATTAACCAATCCACTAATTTATAAATTGCAAATTTCGAAAAAAACAATATTTTTTTATTGCTTATTTATTTATTAAAAAAAAATCCTTTAGCGATTAAATTAAGAAATAAATTATTATTTTCAAGTAAATAAATAAATAAAAAATTAACTGATAGATTAATTTATCAATTTTATGTAAATTTTATATTTTTAAAAAAATTTATTTTTATTATTTTATGTTTTTATCAAAAAATGTTTTGATGACTAATTTAATAAGAAAATTAGTTACGTTAAATAAATAACGAAAATTAACAAAGTTAATTATTTTTTATTTCAATTAATTTTTAGAAATTAATATTTAACAAAATTAATTTATAGAAATTAATTAAATCGATTAATTTATTAATTCTAAATATAATAATAAATATAATTATTATAAAAAAAATGTTCCAAATAAACAAAAAAAAAAATTGCAATTTTTCACAGGTATTTTCGAATAAAAAACGATGTCCAAAGAATTACTAAATAGAAAAAAAGAAAAATGCACAAATTGCACATTAAAAGGGTGTTTTTGCAATTATCCCTATTATTTACCAACCGAGGTGTGTATTCACAATACATCAAATGATTGTTGGGTTTCATTTAATGATGGTGTTTACGATCTCACGGAACTTTGTCAATTGTGGAAGGGAACAAAAAATATTAAACCAATTTTAGCGCTCGCTGGAAAGGACATAAGTCATTGGTTTGATCGTGAAAAAAATGACATTAAACACTATATTCATCCTCTAAATGGAAAATTAGTGCCATATTGTCCACATGGACCAATACCGGATGTTGATTCAATTTCTCAAATTTCTACTTCTACCTTAATTAATAATAATGATAATAATAAAAATGACTCTAAAATCTTTTCTTCTACTAAAAATTTAATTAATAACAATACTTCGTGGAAAACTGCCAAAAAAATGCCATGGTGGAAAAGTGAAAAATACCGAATTGGCAATCTTACAAAAAATCCAAGACCCTGCAGAATTATTAATGTCCTCACAGGATGTGAAGCAATTATTTCCGTTAGTTGATTATATATTAAAAAATTAATTATAAAAGTTATAATAACAATAGTTTGCTTTTTTTGTTAACTAACTTTTTTAATAATTTTTCTTTTCAAATCATTGAGTTCTTGGAAAGAATTTTGTCAAAAAATTAAAGAATAATTGAATTCCTTCGCAGAATTTTATTATTTATAAAAATAATCGATTTCTCGAGAAAAATTTAATTAAAATTTTTAAAAACCCTAATAAAATTCTTTTGAAGAATTTATTTGAATTTTTTTTTTAAATAATGGAGTATCTTTAATAATTTTAATTGAAAATTGTGAAAGTAATTTAATTGTCTTTGTATTTTTTTAAATAACTTAGATTTTTGAATAATATTCAATTGAAAATTTTGAAAATAATTGAATAAAACAAATAATTTTTTCAACTGTTTAAAATAATTTTTAAAATAATTTTCGCGATGAATTTCACTTCGAAAGAATTTCTTGAATATAATTTATTTCAAATTTTTGAAAATAATTGAAATTCTGCAAAGAATTCAATTATTTATGAAAAAAATTGAATTCTTGACAAGAATTTATTTCAAATTTTTGAAAATAATTGAAATTTTATAAAGAATTCAACTATTTATGAAAAAAATTGAATTCTTGACAAGAATTTATTTCATATTTTTGAAAATAATTGAAATCCTCCGAAGAATTTTATTATATATGAAAAAAATTGAAATCTTCAAAAGAATTTTACTTGATTATTTTTTATGAAGACAATTTAATTTTTAGGAAGAATTTTATTAAAATTTTTGAAAATAATTGAAATCCTCTGAAGAATTCAATTATTTATGAAAAAAATTGAAATCTTCAAAAGAATTTTACTTGATTATTTTTTATGAAGACAATTTAATTTTTAGGAAGAATTTTATTATTTATCAAAATAATTATAATTTTGCAAAGATTTTTATTAAAATTTTTGATAAATAATATAATATTGTTTCAATGAAAATTTAAATTCTTTGTAGGAATTTAGTTAAAATTGTATTGAAAATAATTGAATATTTAGGGAGAATTTTATTAAAACTTTAGAAAATAATTGAATTCTTTTGGAATATTTTATATTGAAATTAAAAAAAAAATTGAATTCTTTCGTGAAATTTTGTTGATAATAATTGAATTTTTGCAAAGATTTTACTATTTTAAAAAACAATTGAATCGTTTTGAAGGTTTTATTAAAATTTTGTTGACAGTAATTGAATTTTTGTAATGAATTTTATTATTTATAAAAATAACTGTATTCTTTCAAAGAATTTATGGAAATAATTGAATTCTTCCGAAGAATTGTATTCAAATTTTTGAAAATATTAAAAATAATAATTAATTATTTACTTAATTGAGTGAATTTTTTAAATTTTAATTATGAAATTATTCAAAAATTTATATTTAAAAATAAAAAATTTCGTAATTTGCCTAATAATATTGAAATTAAAATTTAAAATTTAAAATTAAATTTAAAATTTAAATAATAAATAACAATAAATTGTGAAGGTTTGTGAAGAGGATACAATACGAAGAATTCAGAAGCGATTTTTAATTTTCAATTCAAATAACGAGAGTTACACGTGGACGTACGAAGGAAAACCTGTGGACCTTGATAAAACTTTAACGGAAAATGGAATATTAGATGAACGAGATCGTTTTGTAAATTGTGGACTTCCGGAAGATATTTATATTCCAGCTTTATTGTGTCATTACAATGATGATCTCACGATGACGACTTAACTGTAAAAATTTTGCTAAAAATGTCCTTTTAATCTAAATTCCCCTTTTAAAAGCTTTATAATTAAAAATTTATATACTTTTATAATTTTATACGATTTTCATGACAAAAAAAAAAATAAATACATATATTTATAAACTGTAATTTACAATGTCATAAAAGTTTAATATAAATTTATAATATTTATAATATATGCGGCAAAAGTTTATTACAAATCCGCAATTTATTATTATAAATAAAATTATATCAGATGATGAAATTTCATGTCATGAAATTTTATTAAAAATTTATAATTTATAATGTTATTAAAGTTAATCGAAAATTTATAATGTAATGTAAGCGATAATAGATTGCGGTAATAATACTAATAATATAAATAGTATACAGACTTCAATTAGACATCATTTAATTTCAATAGTATCAATTTGTTTATTAGAATTGGAATTAATTTTTTTATAATTAATACGTATATAATAGAAATAATTAATTTATACCAATACAATTAAATTTTACTTCAAATTTTTCCAGTTGATGAATTTGAAAGCAGTTTTATTATAATCTTGCCTAAAAAAGAAAATAATTAGATTAATTAGTAATATTTTTAATTAAAATGTTCTTTAAATAAAATATTTTTATTAATTTTTCAAAAAGTTCTTTGAGAATTTTCAATTTCATTTGTTTACAAATCAATTTTAACAATTATTTAATTAATACAAAGAAATATGTAAATAATATTTTATTGAATAATTGAATGTTTCTCAAAAATGAATTTTCATAAAGAATTTTATAAACTTTTTAAATAATTGAATTCGATTAAAATTGTATAAAAAATAATTGAATTTATAAATTATAAATTTATGAAAAATACGAGAATTTTATTATTTATCAAAATAATTGAATCTCCGTAAAAAGTTGTATTATTTATGAAAATAATTGAATAATTGCGAAGAAATTTATAAAAAAAATTTGTGAGCAATTGAATTCTTTTGTATTTTCAAAAATTTGAATATAATTCTTTACGCAGTAATTCAAATATTTTAAAAAAATTTAATAAAATTCTTTGCAGAAATTCAATTATTTTTATAAATATTAAAAATTCTTCCAAGAAATTTAATTAAATTCAAACATAATAATTAAATTCTTGTAAAACAATTAAATTATTTCCATAAAATAATAATAATAAAAAAATTCGCATAAAATTTTTGATAAAATTCTTTATAGGAGTTCAATTTATTTTAAGAAATAATCAATTCTCATAAAGAATTTTATTAACAAATTTTTAAATAATTGAATTCTTTTGAATTATTATTTATTTTTTTTGTATAAAAATAATTAAAATTCTGCAATGAGTTTTATTTATATTAAAAAGTTTTATGTTTTGTGAAAATAATTAAAGAATTGTATTCAAATTTTTCTATAAATTTCTCTGCAATAATTCACAGTAATTCAATTATTTTTAAAAAAATTCAATTATTTTTATAAATAACGAAAATTTTTCGAAGAAATTCAATTAAATTCAAACATATTAATTAAACTCTTGTAAACAATTAAATTATTTCCATAAAATAATAAAATTATTCTCAAATTATAAAATTTTTGATTAAATTCTTTATAGGAGTTCAATTTTAAGAAATAATAATCAATTCTCATAAAGAATTTTATCATCAAATTTTTAATGAATCGAATTCTTTCGATTTTGTATTTTTTTGCATAAAAATAATTGAAATTCTGCAATTGGTTTTATTATTTATATTAAAAATGTATATTAAAAAATTTTATTCTTTGTGAAAATAATTGAATTATTGCAAAGAAATTTATAAAATTTGTAAATAATAAAATTCCTGTGAAATTTCACAATTAAATGTTTGCGTAGTATTTTATTAAAATTTTTTTTTAAATAACTGAATTCCTTTGGAAAAATTTATTAAAATAGTAGATATATTAAAAAATCATTGAAGTGAGGAAAATTTTTGAAATTTTGCCAAGGATTTTATTAGAATTTTTGAAAATAATCGAATTTAGGAGTTAAGAATTTTATTATTTAAATAAAGATAATTGAAATTTTGACGAGAATTTTTTTAAATTTCTAAACATAATTGAATTTCTGGAGAGAAATTTGATTGTTTTTGAAAATAATTGAATTTCTGCAATAAATTTTAACTTCTCCAAAATTAAATTTTTTTTAGTGTTCACAACTAAAGATTCTTATAGGAATCCATTATTTTTAATAATTAATTAAATATATATTAAAAAATGTTAACTAACTTTCTTTAAAATTCTAATTAAATTCATTCAAAATCGAAATTTTACTTTTTAAAAAATAAAAAAAAATAATGGTAATTAATAAATTAATTAGTTAACAAGTTTTATTTTTTTAACCCTGTAGGGTAGATTTCCCACTTTTGGCCACTGCTTCATTCTTCGTCAATTTTTATAAAATTTTCATTTAATTATTTATTATAATTATTATTTCTTATTATAATAATATAGTACTATACAGGATTTTATTTTTAATTTTAAGTATTTTCTTAAGTAAAATACTTAAATAAACTTAAATATTTAAAATTACTATAAATATTAACTAGTGGCCAAAACTGGTGCTTTTACACTAATTTATTTGTCAACTGTAATTTATTTGATAAATTTGTAAATAAACTTAAATAATTTTATATTACAAAAATAAATTGGTTGTATTTCTTATCTAAGAAAAAATTAATTTTCCCATTCTTACTTTAATATGAATGGCAATAACTCCATTATGCGCCATATGAGGAATCTCAAAATCAGCAAAACCCTTTTTATCAACGTCAATAGTCTTTACAGAACATCGATTTCCAAAATTCATATTTCCTGAGATAATATCGCAATATCGACCGGCTGGTAAACCAGTATTGAGACGTTGCTTCAGATCGAGATTCTTTTGATTATTGAAAACAATGAAGCCACGACGTTCGCGGGCAAATGCAATTTGATCTTTGCCATTGCTCCACCATTTGGTAAGTTTAGCGCCCTTCGCAATATTACGAAATTTCACCATATTACGAATTTCTGGCCAACGATGCTCGCACACCCATCCATTGTCACAAGCATTTCCTGTCACATTAATAATTGGCGATTCCAAATTTCCATTTTCATCTGCAGGCGGTCCAGCATTTGGATCGGTGAATTCAAAGGAACTCATTACTCTCGCATCTCCATAAGGATGGGCCAACATAAAAGCCTGTGCCATCTGGGGAATTTTTTAAATTTTATTTTTTTATTCACTTATTTTTAGTTATTTTTATTAATAATAATATAAGTAATAATTTTTCGCGAATTTCAATAAATGTCATCTTCTTGAAATATATAATTGTATTCAGAATTTATTTGATAAAATTATTTCATCAAAATTTGAATTGACATTTTGCTATTGAATTAGTAATTTTTACTAATAAATTAGTAGAAATTGCCATTTATTAGTCAAATTTACTAATTGAAAAGAAAAAAGTCAGTCACCAATGCAAATTAGTAAATAACATTTTTACTAATTCAACAATTAGAGAGTAAATAGGTTGCCACAAAAAATTAATTTTGTTTTTCCCTGATTTCCAGACAAAATTTTCCCCTTTTCCCTGACTCTAAAGAATATTCTGATTCACTCTAAAAATGATTAAATACTAAAAAAAACATTCTATTACATTTACTTACGATTTTATTTTAATTGTAAAATTATTCAAATAAACATTAATAAATTGTTTTTTTAATAAATATTTAATCATTATTATTTTTCCATAAGAGTTGAGATTTTAAATAATTTCTAATTCAAATCTTTTGAAATTCTACAATTTCATAAAAAATTTTATAATTATTTGCGGATAATTTTATTATTTTTATGGAATTAATGTAATTGTTTACAAGAATATAATTAATGTGTTTGAATATAAATGAATTGCTACGAAAAATTTTGTTATTTATAATGTTAAGTGAATTCTTGTCAATAATTTTATTAAAATTTTTGAGCACATTTTCATTATTTATGAAAATAATTGAATTCTGAAGAAAAATTTTATTGAAAATAATTGAATTTCTGCAAGGAATTTTATTTAATTTTTTTAAAATAATTGAATTACTGTAAAGAATTATATTCAAATTTTTAAAAATGCAATAGAATTAAATTATTTAGAAAGACTTTAATAAAATTCGTAACAGAAATTCAATTATTTTTACATGTAATAAAATTTTTCACATAAATTCAATTATTTAAAAAATTGTAATAAAATTCATTGAAGGAATTAAATAATTTTTACAAGTAATACAATTTTTTACATAAATGCAATTATTCAAAAAAATGTAATAACATTCGTTGCAAGAATTCAATTATTTTCATAAATAAGAAAGTTCTTCACAGGATTTCAATTATTTTTAATACAATTTTAAATAAATTTCTTGAAAAAGAAAATTAGTTTCAAACATTTTTTGCAAGAATTCAATTACATTTCAGAAATAATAAAATTCTTTGCTGAAATTCAAATTCTTTCAAAATCTACCATTTTAATAAAAGTTCTCAAAAGAATTGAATTATTTAAAAAAATGTAATAAAATTCATTGCAGAAATTCAATTATTTTTACAAGTAATACATTTTTTTTACATGAATTCAATTATTTAAAAAAATATAATAAAATTTGTTGCAAGAATTCAATTATTTTCATAAATAATAAAATTTTTCATAGGATTTCAATTATTTTTTTAATTTCAATACAATTTTAAATAAAGTCCTAAAAAAAGAATTATTTTTAAAAATTTTATTAAAATTCTTCGAAAGAATTTAATTTTCAATTATTTTTTAAAATTTAGGCTATAATGTTTTTAATATTCAATTATTATTTAAAATTTTTTCCAGGAATTTATTTAAAATTGTATTATAAAAATAATAGAAATCCTATGAAGAACTTTATTATTTATGTAAATAATTTAATGTTTGCTTAGAATTTTATCTACATTTTTTTTAAGTAATTTAATTCTTTGAAAAATTTTATCAAAATACTACAATTTTAATAAAATTTATTTTCATTGAATTGAGGAATATTTTTGAAAATAATTGAAATTTTGCCGAGAATTTTATTAAAATTTTTGAAATAATTGGATTTTGGAGAAGGATTCTATTAATTTTAAAGATAATTGAAATTTTGAGGAGATTTTTTTTTAATTATTGAACATAATTGAATTTCTGCTATGAACTTTATTGTTTTTGAAAATAATTGAATTTCTGCAATTATTTGTAATTTCTCGAAAATTTAATTTTTTCCAGTACTTTTTATAAAAATCCCTGACGTTTCCCAGATTTTCCTGATCAATTGTATCACCTGTAAAAAATTTTTAGTGTAAATTCCCCAAAATTTTGGTGACCCAATTTTAACCAAAAAAAAAAGGTAAATTTACACAAAGAAAACTTGGTGAATTTTTCCCAAGAAAACTAAAGGAAATTTCCCTTTAAAATCTTGTGGAATTTTCTCTTTGAAACCTTAGGGAATTTTCCCTTTGAAACCGTGGGGAATTTTTCCCAAAAAAACTCGAGGAAATTTCCCTTTTCAACCTTGGGGAATTTTCCCTAAAAGCTCGAGGAAATTTCCCTTTGAAACTTTAGGAATTTTCCCTTTGCAATCTTGGGGAATTTTCCTTAAAAACTCGAGGAATTTTCCCTGATTTCCCTGACCTGTGACAACCCTGGTAATTTATAATTTCAAAAAATCTCCTATTCTTTTAATGAAATTTTTTCTTTTTTTTTGTACCTTGTATTGCCTTGGCAATTTGTAATTAAGAATCGATGCACCACCAGCGCCGTGACCACGTTGATTATCATGATTATCAATCATGACAACGGCGTCGGACGACGGCAACAGACCCCAAGCGCCAGGTTGGCCCCAATTTTCTAAATCCTTCAATTCCTTTTCGTTTCGAAACATCATACCCAATATGATGCCAAATGCGAATTCAATCACTGTTCCAAAGCCATTGTACTCGAATTTTGACACAGCCTCACCGCCCAGATCAATTACCTCCTGATAAATGAACGGACGACTCTTGGCCGGGTAGCCGTGTTTTGTATTCAAATTTTTTATCCTACCATAAATCACTTTAAGATCATTTGGATACATGTGTTTCGCCGCGTCAAATCTGCAAAAATTCATTATCATTTGCTCATCATCTGCTTCTGTTTCTAACACTTACTCTCATGATAATGAAATTTTTTTTAAAAGTATTTTTTTATCTAAATCCTAAACTGAAAAAATTTTATTCTTAATTTAGAAAAATATTTTTTGGATCCTATTTAAAAGAATATTTTCCGTAGAATTTATTCTTAGTTGTTCAATTTGATGCCAGACTAAATTTTGCTTTAGAAATTAGTAAAAAATTACTGATTAGTACTAGCAAATAAATAGCCATTGGTAGACAATAACTAATTAGTAGTATAAAATGATTAATTATTAGAACTTAAATTATTACTAAACAACTAATTATTAGTAGAAAACAATTAATTTTTAGTAGAAAATAACTAATTATTTGTGGAAAATAACTCATTATTAATCAGAAATAAATAATTATTATTAGTAAAAAAAAATAACTAATTTGTACTAGTAGAAAATAATGAACTTTTAGTAAACAAGTATCTAAGAAAATAGTCCAATTTAATTAATAAAAAATAATAATAATAACAACTGATAAAATAAAATGGATAGTATAATTTTTTTTATTATTAAGGGGATTTGAACCATTATGACGTCACAATTTTGGAACACATGCTTTGCGCAAATTGTGACGTCATAATGGTTCAAATGCCCTTAATTTTAATTTTTTTTTTTAAAAGTAGACCTACTTTCAATAGCTTATAACTTTAAAAGTATTGAGTTTGGAAAAAAGTTGTCAAAGGAAGAAAGTTTTGGTTTTTCTTCAACTTTTAAAAGATTTAAAAAAAAATTTTTTTTTTATAAACAAATTAATTTTTTTTAAATTTGGGCGCGATTTTTTTTTATTTTTTTTTTATTTATTTATACCTACTAATATACAGAAAAATTTCCAAAAAGATTCGAGATGGGCCGACTCATAGTTTTCGTTCTATAAATTTTTTAATTAATTTGTTTATAAAAAAAAAAAAATTTTTTTTCTTAAAAATTAATAAAGAAATTTTTTTTTAAATTACATAAAAGTTAAAGAAAAACCAAGATTTTCTTTCTCTGACAAGTTTTTTCTAAACTCAAAACTTTCAAAGTTACAAGCTATAGACTTATAATTCACAGTTTTCATTCTATAAAAAATTTATGGAACGAAAACTACGAGTCGGAACATCTCGAATCTTTTTGGAAATTTTTCTGTATATTAGTAGGTATAAATAAATAAAAAAAAAATAAAAAAAAATCGCGCCCAAATTTAAAAAAAATTAATTTGTTTATAAAAAAAAAAATTTTTTTTTAAATCTTTTAAAAGTTGAAGAAAAACCAAAACTTTCTTCCTTTGACAACTTTTTTCCAAACTCAATACTTTCAAAGTTATAAGCTATTGAAAATAGGTCTACTTTTAAAAATCCAAAATTTCGAAAATTCATAACTCGAAAATTTTGGCAAATATGGAAAAATAAAAAAATACGTATTTAATATTTTTCTATCAAGAACGATAAAAAATATGTTTAACCGATTCTAAAATGTCGTAGAAAAATTTCCCGTGAAATTGCCCATATATACGAAGTAAATTTGAGTGAAAACTATAGTAAAATTTACTTCTAATTTGTTAAAAGTCTACAAAAATAGAAAAATTTAGTATTAGAAAATTTTTATTTTTCAAAATAATTTTCAATATTTCCCACGGAAATTTATTTTACAACATTTAGAATTAACTAATAGTTAAGAAGTAGTAAAATTTATTTTGTAAATTTATTTTTAATAACAAATTGTTCTATATTCGAAGAAAATAAAAAAAACAACAATTTTTCCAAAGTTTGCAAAAAGTAGACCTTTTTTTTCTTCAACAAAACTAAAAAATTCTCTAACTTGCAAAAAATACAATTTTTCTAAGTTTTTTTAAAGGGGAAAATATGCATAATTTTTTATCATTTTCGGAGGATTTTATTAATATAACGAGATACAAATTTTTTTTTGTGTTTTAGTAGGGAAAATTAATTAATTTAAGGATTTTTACTAATTTAAAGGGTTAAATTATTTTTTTTAGTGTTTTGGGGGATTTTATTGATTTAAGGATACAAACAATTTTTTCGGGATTTTTTTATAGGTGTTTTAGTGGGTTTTATTAATTTTAGGTGATAAATAATTTTTTGTGGTGTTTCTGTAGGTTTTTCAGAAGATTTTATTAATTAAGGGGATAAATAATTTTTTGGGGTGTTTAAGTATTTTAGGGGATTTTATTAATTTAAGAAGATACATGATTTTTCTTTGGTGTTTTGGGGTATTTTATTATTATAATTTCAGGGAAAAAAAAATTTTTTACGGGCGTTTTATTTGGATATTCATTAATTGAATGTTTCAATCATTAATTTAGTTAATTAATTAATTTAAATTAATTTAAATTACGATAAATGTTTTTTGCTTGTTTTGAACTACTTTATTAAATTATAATTTAAGGAAGAAAAATTTATTTTTAGGGCGTTTTATTAGGTGTTTCAAGAAATTTGATTAATTTACTGGGATAAAATTTTTTTTTTGTGTTTTAGTACGAAAAATTAATTAATTTCAGGATTTTTAATAATTTAAAGGTTTTTTTTAGTGTTTTGGGGGATTTCGTTGATTTAAGTGGATAAACATTTTTTCGGGGTGTTTTGACAGGTGGTTTTGAAAATTTTATTAGTTTAAGACGATGAACAATTTTTTTTTGTTTTCTAGTAGGTGTTTTAGGTCATTTTATTAATTTAAGAGAAAAAATGATTTATTTTTGGTGTTTTGGGGGGATTTTATTATAATTTAAGGAGATAAATATTTTTTTTGAGATGTTTTGGTAGCTGATTTAGGAGGTTTTATTAATTTAAGGGTATAAATAATTTTTTTGAGGTTTTTTGATAGGTGTCTTAGAAGATTTTATTAATTTAAGGGGATAAATAATTTTTTTGAGTGTTTTGTAAGTGTTTTAGGGTATTTCATTAATTTAAGGGGATAAATGATTTTTTTTTGTGTTTTGGGGGATTTTATTATAATTTAAGGAGAAAAAAAAGTTTTCTTAGGCGTTTTATTAGATTTTTCAGGTCATTTTATTAATTTAAGGGGGTAATTCAAATTTAAAGAGTAATGAATTTTAATCGTGAATTTATTAGTTTTATATTTGTCTGACTCTTTAACTTTTGCAAAATTTTATTCACGTAAAAATGCATATAGAAATAAAATGGAAGAAAATAGAAGCAAAAATTTTTCAAAGTTGAAAAATGTTGAATAAAAAGGTGAAAATGAAATGGAAAAAGCGAAAAAAATGAAAAGAAAGTGAAAAAAGGTGAAAACGAAATGGAAAAAGCGAAAAAAATGAAATAGTAAAGTTTGTGACTCATTCTAAAAATGAAAAGAAGATAAAAAACGTCCTCGTACCGAAAACCAGCAACACCTGCATCGACACACCTGTCCAAAAAATGGACAATAGCCTCTCTGACATTTTCGCGAGTCTGATTAAGATCGTGAAGTCCAGATAATTCACAGACTCTGACTTCGGTTGCATTTTTGTAATTTGCAATTGTACATTGTTGGTGGAAATCCTGGGGACCAAATGGAACAGCGGGATATTCTCGACGATGGGGCCGAGCTCTGGTACCACCTGTACCAATAGCAGGTGACTGATCGGTTGTCATATGGTTAACGACCACGTCTACAAAGATTCGAACTCCAACCGCGTTACATCTCCTCACCATGTCCTTGAATCCCGCCTCATTGCCCGATCTTGTTTCAATTTTATAAGAAATCGGCTGGTACCGCTCGAACCAAGGCCTCTTTGCCAGTATCATATTTTCATTTATTGGCGACACCTCGTAAACAAAATTTTACATAATATATTCAAATTTAAATTGCAATTTTCTATCAATTTTTTATACTGCCCTTCTTTTCAAAATAAAATTAATTTTCCAATTTTTAAAAAAAATTAATAAATTTCCCAATATTATAACTTTTTCTAATGTATCAAAAAAAAATTAAACATCAAATTTTACCTGAACAGCTGCGTAACCAGCTGGACCAAGAAAACGTTCACATTCTTTGGCAATATCATCAAATTTCCATTCGAATAAATGCACCATTGTCGTGCGATCATCTTTATAGTGGGGATTTTTTTGTCCTCTTATAATATTTAAAAAAAGCAGAAAAACCACAAGACAAAATGAATAGTTATTCATTTTGTATAAAACAGGTCGATAATCAAAAGTGTCACGTATAGTAAAATTTCTCTCTTATATCTGCAAACAGGCAATATTTATTATCTCTCGTCAAAAACATGTGTCAAAGAGACGTTTCCATTTAATAATAAAAGTGAAAAATAAATTCTTCATTATTAGTTAAAAGAGAATAATAATTTTCCATGTGCCATATGTGTCACTTGTTACTCATAAAACATTAAACAACAAAATAAAATTTTGCTATATTACTTTCTTGGTAATAAACTGTCTGGCGATACACGAGTTTTTTTCCTCATTAATGATTATTATTATTAATGTTTACTTTTTAAAAACAAGTCGGTAAAGTAAGAATCAACGGAAAAGAAGAAAAAAATTAACTAACTAATTACTAGTAACAATTCATTAGCAAAAACCAATTGTGTCTTAATATACATTAATTTATTAATAATATTTCAACATTTTTTTAAATATTATTTGTTCTTTTATTAATTAATAATTATTTCTTTATATTATTTTTCATATTATTTTTCGTAATATTTTCCATATTATTTTTTATATTATTTTTTATTATATTTTTTATATTATTAATCAACAATCATGTAGTTATAAATTCTTTAAATTTGGATTTGTAAAAATAAAAATGTTTTACTAATTTGAATTACTGACTGACTTTTTGCTTTTAAATTAGAAAATTCAATTTATTTTACTGATAATTAGTAAATTCAGTTCATTTTACTAATAAATAGTAATTTCTACTAATTTATTAGTGAAATTTACTAATTCGAAAGAAAAAAGTTAGTCACTAATTCAAATTAGTAAATATTTTTAATTATTTCAAATTTAAAGAGAGAATATTAATATTATCTCATTTGTAATAGTCACTAATTTTAATTAGTGAAATTTTTTCAATAATCAAACTTGATTAGATAACAAAGTTTAGAAAATAAATAAAAAAATTATATTTTAGAAACAAAAATTTTATTATTTATTTTTAAAAAATAATTGTCATTAATCACATAGTATTTTTTATCATCGCCAAATTAAAAAAATTATTTATAGAAACTTAAAATTTCCTACCTTAAAAAATTTTACAAACTTTGGAAAAATAATTTTTCTTTGAATACTAATATTTTTTTTCTTTTCTCTTAATTTAAAAAAAAAATTATAAAAATTTTCCATGTTAAAAAAAGTTGTATATAAAAACTTCGAAGGTTAATTTTCTTGAATTAAATAAACATTTTTCGAATTATAAAACATTATTTGGAAAATGTTTCAAGACAAAAAAAAATTTTGTCAAGATATTATAAAATTATATTTTAACTTGGAAAATTTAAATTTTTTTTACATCAATTAAAAAAGATATTGAATCAGAAAAATTTATTTTTCCTAAATTATATACGTAGAATTTTTTTCTAACTTGGAAAATTATAATAATTAATTTTAATTTGGAGTAGAAAAAAATTATTATGATTCAAGGAAAAATATTATTCCAATGAAGTATTTATTATTTATTCATTATTACCTAGAAATTTGTTTATTATTAATTTATTATTTATTTATTACTTCAATTATTTTTCTTTCAAATTATTAAAATTTTCCACCTTAAAAAATTTCACAAAACTTTCGAAAAATAATTTTTTTTTAATCGTACACGATGTTTTTATTTTTCTTCAAAAAATCTACAAACTTGAGAAAAGATATAATTTATTTTCTTCAATCAAAATATTTTACATTTTTTTCAAACTAAAAAATTATTTGGTAATTGTTTCAAAAATATTATTCTTTCAAATTTTTGTAGAAATTTCTCTTTTTTGGGAAATTACATTTTTTTTTATTAAAAATTGGAAAAATATATTTAATCAAGAAAATTATCTTACGTCGACATTGTATACAATATTCTTTCCAAAATATTTATTATTTATTTTTGATAATAAATCATAAGAGTTTAAATGCCCTTTAAGTAAATTATTTATTTGTTATTTATTTAGGTAATTTTACAAATTTTTTTCCTTCATAACTATTAAAATTTAATTCTAAAATTCTATAAAAATTTGGAAAACTAATTTGTCTTTGAATCTTTAAAAAAAAAAAAATAATTTTTGGCAAGATTTCTCATAAAATTTTTTTTTAACTTTGGAAATTATTATTTTTTTACATCAAATGAAAAAAAAAATGATTCAAGGAAATTATTTTTCCTAGATTCTGTGGATTTTTTTTAACTTGGAAAATTTTAATTAGTTTTCTTAATTTGAAGAAGAAAAAAAATACCATTATGAAAAAAATACCATTCAAAGAAAAATTATTATTACAAAGTATTTATTATTTATTTACTATATTAAGTAGATATTATTTATTTTTCATTTATTTTCCCAATTTTTTCCCAAACTTTTCAAATTTAATTCTACAAAAAAATTAAATTCTAAAATTCTACAAAAATTTAAAACAATAATTTTTCTTTGAATCGTACAATGTTTTTATTTTTCTTGAAAAAATCTAAATAATCCAAGGAAATAATTTCCTTGAATCAATTAATTTTCTCTTTATTGCAAATTAGAAAAATTGTTTGAAAATTGTTTCAAATATATTTTTCAAATTGATATTGTTATATAAAATTTCAAATTTTTCACGTTTAATTAAAAAAAAAAAAAATTCTCCAAAATCTTGAAAAAAAATTTTCTTTGAATCTAATTAATAATTAATAATGTTCGACCACCCATACACGATAAATTTTGTAGAAACAATATTTACATATATTATTCAAACATACAAATTGACTGATTAAATGAAATTGCGCTCTTTATTATAAAGTGACGAAATTTCTCTTGAACCAATTATAAAACGTTATTGCACGCAATTACTTAGAATTCGACAATAGTATATTTACATATCGCGCGAGGAACTGTCCTAATTACTGCGTACTGGTGCAATTCACTCGCGCATTCATACGACACAATATATTAACACTAATACACTCATCGTCTTTAAAAGAATTGGTTCACTTATCATTATACATTAAATAGTTGTTTTCTAGATCACAGTGTGCGAGGTTAAAGTTGTGCGACGTGAAATAATGGGAACGTACAATTAAGAATCTCCATGAATATTTCTCAGTATTCACATTATCATTGATACTTCATTGATATATGTCAGTTGATTCTCGTCGTGTCAATCGCTATGAATTCAAGAATGAAATTTTCCAAGAAAATTATTTATTATAATACGCAAATTTTATAACTCTCATTCTCACTTCAAATTATGTCTTCTTCGCGACTTATCAATGATTATTAATAACAAATTTATGGGCTACGATAAAAGAGGAGTAAGAGAATAATTTTTTTTCTAATTATTATTTTATTGATAATTAATAATTCAGTGTTATTCAATTTTAATTTAATCTAATTTTAATTCCAATAATTAAATTTTAATCGAATTTTAATTCCAATTTAATTTTAATCTAATTTTAATTACAATTTAATTTTAATCTAATTTTAATTACAATTTAATTTTAATCTAATTTTCATTCAATTCTGATCAACAATTAGAAAAAATGTTATAATAATAATTAACTTAATTATCGATTGTAATTAAATAATTAACATTACCTGTATGTTATTATTATGACAATAATTTTTTTATTATTAAAAATTTTAAAATTAATAAAAAAACTAATAGAGAACAAATATTTTTTTATAATAATTTTTTTATAATAATAAATAAAAATAGAATATTCGAAGAAAGACAAAAAGAGAGGAGAAAACAGTAAAAAGAAGAGTAAACAGAAATTAATGAAGAAAAATTAAAATAAAATGTAATGAAAAAATAAAAAATAGTATATATATGTTAGGCTCAAAAGCCGAAAACGGCCAATGGCCGGAAAAAACAGCCAAACCTAGTTTTGGCAAGTGCAGTTTTGACAAAACTAGGTTTGGACGTTTCACTTCGGCCATTGGCCGTTTTAAATTGACAAATCTAGTTTTGGCAAATCGACATTTGCCAAAACTAGTTTTGGCAATTTAAATTTGTCCAAAACTAGTTTTGTCAATTTAAATTTTGCCAAAACTAGTTTTGTCAATTTGTCATTTGCCAAAACTGGTTTTGTCAATTTGACATTTGGCAAAACTAGGTGAGGCATTTCAAATTGTGAGAAATTGAAAGAAAGAAAGAATAAAAAAAGAAAGACCGCCGTATTAATAGAAAATTTGTTTAGAATTAGCATGTACTTATTGTTGCTATTTTGAAAACTTAGATTATTTTTTCTATGTTTGGGGAGTTTGTTATTAATTTATATAAACAATTATTAAAAAATGTTTGTCATTACTTGTATGTTTTTTATTTTGATACTGTAATCCACGGTAAAGAAAATAAGCCTAACTTGATAAAAAAATATTAATATTAAAAAAAGTTACAAGGGTTTTTCTAAGTTAAACTTTAACTGCTGTTTTCTCGAAAACTTGTTTTCGCACGTAAGGTCCCTTTTCATAGACCAGGTCACATATTGTTTCTGTATTGAATAATTGTGTGTATGAAATAAGAAATCGTCAACAAGGTAAATTAGCCTGTGTAAAGATAAATTAGTCTGTGTAAAAATAAATAAGTGTTAAAAAAGTTTTTTTAATTAACTTTTATGTGCAAAATATCAATGGATTTTTGTTAGAGAAATTTCATCTTATTGTAAATAGTATTAATCAATGACACATTTTTAAATAAATATATTCCTATTGTATAACGAAGCGGTCTTTCTCACAATTTGAAATGCCTCACCTAGTTTTGTCAAATGTCAAATTGACAAAACTAGTTTTGGCAAAAGTCAAATTGCCAAAACTAGTTTTGTCAATTTAAAACAGCCAATGGCCGAAATGAAACGTCCAAACCTAGTTTTGGCAAATGTCGATTTGCCAAAACTATTTTTGTCAATTTAAAACGGCCAATGGCCGAAGTGAAACGTCCAAACCTAGTTTTGGCAAAATTGCACTTGCCAAAACTAGGTTTGGCTGTTTTTTCCGGCCATTGGCCGTTTTCGGCTTTTGAGCCTAACATATATATATAAAAGAAGAGTATGAAAAAACACAGAAAGAGTAGAAGAAAGTCCAAAAAAAGAAGAGAATAAAGAGATTAATTTAAAAAGAAAACTTTCATACGTGGAATAATAATTGATTTAACAAGGAAGAAAATAGTGGTTTTTCAAGTGCATCATCATAATATTTATCTGGTAAAAATGTTTTTTCTTCCTTTGGAATATTAATTTGAATTCACAGAAATTCACGCAGGAAGCCATCTGTAAGATGTGCTAAACCAACAAGTTACAGAAGGCTGAACAACTGGTACAGTTTATTAGTACTGATCACAATCAATGGATAGTCTATGAATATATAATAGGAAACTTGCTTAAACTTTTGCTTAAAGCAATAAGATATTATACACCTATTGAGTTTAAATTATTACAACTTTCCTCAAGCAATTTGTATTATCTTTTCTTCACTTTTTTTTATTTTCATCTCTCTTGTAAGAAGAATAGCGAACTAGATTATTGGCCAAAAAAATGTATATTATTTACATATTATTTTACTATATTTATTAAAAATTATTATCTTATTTTATCTTATTATTATATTTTAACTTTTTATTTGTCTCTAAAATATTTCATTCGTATTTTTATTACAATGTTTTATTTATGGTTATTTACAAATTATTTTGCAATATGTTTATTTTTAAATTACTTTATGTTTATTTTTATAAATTACTTTATTTATGATTTTTTACTAATTACTTTATTTACATTTATAAATTATTTTAAATATATATTTTAATATTCCAATAATTTATTTATAAACTATTGTAAAAATAAAATATTTTAATATTCCAGTAGAATAAATTTTACTTGAACTAATTAAGTTTCTGTTTTGAAGAAATAAAAACGGAATTTTGTAATAAAAAGTTTGCAATATATTTTTGTTTACTTCCGATTCAATATTAATAACATTTTATATTTTTATTTGAAAATTTTTAGAGTGTCTCTACGGACAAAGAAACATTTTAATGTCTCTAGGAAAAAAATTTTATTTACAAACCAAATATAATGCCTTGAAAAAAAATTTATTTGTTTTAGAGCCTACTAAATTATTTATTTATTTTAAATAATTAAATAATAATTTTATTCGACATAAATGGAATTTTTATTTGAACTAAAATAAAATTTATTTGAAACAAAAAATCTAGTTTGCTCTAAGTCAGATATATATATTTTTTCTAGGCGTATAAATCACTTTGTTTATATTCATTATTTATGTTTATTTATTCATCAAATTTATTTATTTGTATTTATTTCTTTATCATATTTATTTATTTATTTGTATTTATTTATTCATCATATATTTTTATTTATATTTATTTATTCATCATATTTGTTTATTTATATTTATTTATTCATCATATTTGTTTATTTATATTTATTTATTCATCATATTTGTTTATTTATATTTATTTATTCATCATATTTATTTATTTACATTTATTTATTTACATTTATTTATCAATCTGCACGGCAAAAAACCTCCGTCTATAAAACAGGGATAAATTTCTCCAGAATAGTGAAAGTATTACTTGAAATAACTAAAAATTTCGTTAATTCAATAAAATTTGTATCTATTCCAGGTGAAAATTTTTTTCCATGTATTTTTTTTATTTCTTCTGTAAACGGGCTTAGAAAAATAAAAAATGCCCTTTCGTACCATTGATACCGAAAATTTAGAAAGGAAACAAAACATAAAAAATTTATAATTTCATTTATTTCTAATATTCTTTTATTCATATTTATTTATACATAATTTTATACTTATTATATTTATTAATTAGTACAGGAAACGGAAATATTTCCTTTTTCATGCATTGAGAAATTATTTTCAATAAATATTGTATATAGTTATATATTCAGGACTTTTGAATAATTTCATGATGCTAATTATTATTCTTTCGTATGTATGCATAAACAAGACTAAAAAAAGGGTTCGCAAGTAGTTTCTCACGCGGTAGTTTTTAATTTTCCCTTTTTTTCCACCGTATTCGAGTTTATGCGCTGGTGCTAATTATCATTCGAGTTGGATTCCATATTTTTACACTTAACTGTAAGATTTTTTTTTGTCTCTATTTTTGTCGCATTTCATTGATGAGAAGATCATTTATTCAAGCCACTATAATACTTCCTGAAGATATTTTTACTTTTATTATCATTTTCATCATTTTTAAGTTTAAACACGTCTTTAAAAAAAATATTAACATCGTCTAAAGTTTATTAATTATTAATATTTTTTTAGCTTTTATTGTTATTATTTTTTTAGTATAAAAATAAATAAATAAAAAATAAATTATTATCATTTTTAACAAAGTAGGACTAGGAATTTTTATCGTCGTAAATAATTTATTTATTAATATTTTTATTATTACTTAATAATGTTTGTAACATTCTTATTATATTCTCACTATTTTTAGTTACTGCCTTTTTATAATTTATTAATTTTATTAGAATAAATTATAATTAAAAAATTTTATTATAAATTATAATTTAAAAATTTTATTATAAATTATAATTTAAAAATTTTGTTATAAATAAATAAATTTTAGTATTCTTTTATTATTTTTTAACAATTATTATTTTTAACAAATGAGACTACTCTTTAAATTTGAATTAGTAAAAAATAACTAATTTGATATCAGGCAGTCAGTCACTGATTCAAATAGTAATATTTTTTTACTAATGAAATAGTAAATACTTTTTAATCGATTTACTAATGAAATAGTTGGTAATAACTAATTAAAGTTAAATTTATTTTTTTATTTTTAGGTTTTGTCAAAATAACTGAAATTTTTGTAACTAATTCTATTAGGGAAAAACTAATTTTTGTAGTTATTTATTTACTATTAATTAGTAATTTTCTACTAATAATTATAGTTATTTTTTATTAATTGACAAAAAGTCAGCCACAATTTTACTAATAATTTGTTAATTTTAACTAATTCAGATTTAGAGAGTAAGTAATATTTAACATGTTAGAAAAATATTATGTTTGTTTATTTTACTTGTTTATTTTACCTATTATTTATATTTATTTATTATAATTTATTTATAATAGTTTTATTTTATTTATTTACATTTTTTTCCATTTTTAATAAACCTATAATTTTCAAAAACAAAATGAACAAGAATTTAATTTGTAATTCTTAATTTAGTTTAATTGTTATTGTTATTATTTTTTTATTATTATAATTATTTTTATTTATTTATTATTTATTTATTTACAACTTTAACTTTTTATTATTATTATAATTATTATTATTTTTATTGTTGTTATTATTATTGTTATAATGATTTATGATTATTCTCTTATGATTATTTATGATTATAATGATTATTATTAATATAATTACATAAATATTTTCATTATTATTATTTTTATTGAATTCGCAGTGTCATTAATCACTATTAATTAAATTTTTTATAAAAATAGATATAAATTCATCAGCTCAGAAAGATTTTTTTTTTTTTTTTTTTTTTGAAAAAAAGAAGTGAAAAATTACGTTTATTACGATGCACAATGTTGATTGTTGTTGTTGTTGTTTTCTGGCGGTTTAAAATAAATACAAGTGAGAGTCTCCATTGGGCCAATTAGTATTATATGAAGATTGATAAATCGTTTGCTTAGGGCTGCAATTTAAAACAAGCTTTTTGCACAGTGACAGGTGTTTAGAAGTATTCTTAATACTTAGTCGTTTCAAATGACAATTATAAATTATCTTCACGATCCTTATAAATTGTCATTTTATCCTTTTAATAATAGCAACAATAATTGAAATAATAAAAAGTCAAATAATGATTTTTTTTTTTTGATAAAACTTTTTGTTAAAACAGTTTCTCTGAAATTTTATTCTGATTATTATTAATTGAATTATTAATTAACAATAAAAAAAAATTTTTTTAATTAACGTTATCACTTTGTGTTTGAATTCGAATTATGAAATTACATTTTCAAAAAGATGATAAAAATCTATTTTTTTTTTCCCAAATGAGAATGGAATTCATTTCTAAATGAATAATCTCATGGGAAAAAAAAATTTATTCTGCATGTGAGAGATGAGAGAAAAATGACTCACCTGATTATTTTTAATCAGGAGGAGAATGACATTGTGTTTTACATGGTAATATGATAGAAGTTTGAAACTAATGTTTTAACGAGAGGAAAGCATTCCTGGAGAAACTTTTGCTATACGATATCGTGGGCACAAACTTGTCTCATTACTTCGAGGAAAATATCTGATTCTCATTCATATACGTGACTATTTCTGTATTTATTATCATTCAAGAATATCCCATAAGGTTTAGAGAGAAAATAGTGTTTTAAAAAATAGTTTTTATTCCTTCAATTGTTTAACAATTTTTTTTTTTGCAATACAACATTTCAATCGTTAACCAAAAAAAAAAAAAATTGTCAAGAAATTAATAAATGAATGTTTGGTGATGAAAAAAAATGTTAATTAAAAATGGAAGTCGATTACTTTTAAATGCCACAGGTGGAATTTTGAGAAAAATGGGACACTATCGTTATTTTAGAAAATCGCCAATAATTGCGAGTAAATCGTTGAAAGTGGCAATTTTAGGTTGTACCGGAAGGACAGGTAATGGAATTGTAATGAATAAAATTTATTTTTTTTAAAAGAAGCCCTAAATATGGTTATTTTGGTTTCATCAATATTTAAACAATATTTTTATTTTTCTTTACATTATTTTTGTTACAAAATAATTACAAAAAACGGTTTCAAAAATAGCAAATATTAAATCAAATGTAGGTTTAACATTTCTTTATTTAGTAATTTTCCAGTTTATTTTATAATTTTCTAATTTATTTAGAAATTTTCTACTCTATTTAATAATTTTCTAATTTATTTAGTAATTTTTTATTTTCTTTAATAATTTTCTAATCTATTTAGTAATTTTTTATTTTCTTTAATAATTTTCTATTCACTTCCATAATTTTTGAATTTATTTTGCAATTTTTTATTTTCTTTAATAATTTTCTATTCTCTTCCATAATTTTCTAATTTATTTAGTAATTTTTTATTTTCTTTAATAATTTTCCAATTTACTTGGCAATTTTCTATTTTATTCAGTAATTTTTTAATTTATTTAGTAATTTTCTAATTTTTTTTATTTGAACCAAAAAAATACAACCAATAAATAAACCATAATTTACGTAGTAATTTTCTATTCTATTTAATAAATGTCGAATTTATTTGGTAATTTTTTATTTTCTTTAATAATTTTCTAATCTATTTAGTAATTTTTTATTTTCTAAAAAATTTTTCTATTTTATTTAGTAATTTGTTATTTTCTTTAATAATTTTCTAATTTATTTACTAATTTTCTATTCTGTTAAATAATTTTTTAATTTATTTTGCAATTTTTTATTTTCTTTAATAATTTTCTATTTTCTTCAATAATTTTCTAATTTATTTAGTAATTTTTTATTTTCTTTAATAATTTTCCAATTTAGCTGGTAATATTCTATTCAGTAATTTTTTAATTTATTTAGTAATTTTCTATTTTTTTTTATTTGAACAAAAAAAATACAGTCAATAAATAAACCATAATTTACGTAGTAATTTTCTATTCTATTTTATAAATTTCGAATTTATTTAGTAATTTTTTATTTTCTTTAATAATTTTCTAACTTATTTAGTAATTTTTTATTTTCTAAAATTTTTTTCTAATTTATTTACTAATTTTCTATTCTGTTAAATAATTTTTGAATTTATTTTGTAATTTTCTATTTTCTTTAATAACTTTCTAATTTATTTAGTAATCTTCTATTTTCTTCAATAATTTTATAATTTATTTAGTAATTTTCTATTTTATTTAATAATTTTCTAATTTATTTAGTAATTTTTTATTTTCTTTAATAACTTTCTATTCTATTTAGTAATTTTTTAATTTATTTAGTAATTTTCTAATTTTTTTTTATTTGAACCAAAAAAGAAACCAAAGCCAATAAATAAACCATAATTTACGTAGTAATTTTCTATTCTATTTGATAAATTTCGAATTTATTTAGTAATTTTCTATTTTTTTCAAATAATTTTCTAATCTATTAATAAGTTTCTATTTTCCTTAATAAAATAGAAATTTATGTTTGATTATTAAATTAATTAAATTAATCACTAATTTAATTTAATTCAATATTTTAATTTTTAATTTAACAGTTTAATATTTATTTTATTCTGTTTTATTTTATTTAGGAATAATTAAATTTACAGTATAAAGATTTTAAAGGTTGTTTTTGTTGAGAATCTACATTTATTTAATTTTTTTAAATAATTAATTAATGTTTTTAAAATTAAATTTACAATTGTTACATATATTAATTATTAATAGTTAATATTTTAATACAGTCAATAAATAATTATATTTTCTCGAAAAGAAAAGTAGGAAAATAGGAGAAAAAAAATTGAGAAATAAAAATAAGAATTAATCTTTGAATATATTTATTGAAATCTAGGAAGATGTTTGTCCCTATTTTTGAAGCAATCAGCTTTAATTGATGAATTGGCACTTTATGATATTAAATCGATTCGCGGATTAGCAATGGAATTAAATTGCATTGACACAAACTCTAAAGTGAATTATTCTGAAACTGATGAGCCTTCTTTGAAAGAAGTTTTAGAGGATGCAAAAATAGTGATGATCACTGCCGGTAAATCATATTCGAGCACATCACCAAATGATGATATTCTCTATGATAATGCTCTCATTTTGGCCGAAATTTTTCCCGAAATCGTCAAATATTGTCCCGATGTAAGTCTGCCAGGAAAATTCATTTAAAAAAAAAAACTTTTTGATAATATTCATAAGAATTTTTTTATGAATTCTAAAAATTTAATTTTTTTCAGAACTTTTAATAAAAATTCCTGACTTTTCCCTGAATTCCCTATGTCAGAATATGTGATAATTATAATTATAAATAATATTAAATATATATTCCAATTCGTATTTTATTTTTATAAAAAAAATTTGAATTACAAATTTTTACTTTCTTATTTTTAAAATTGATAATTTTATTTTTAAAAAAAGTGAGTTAGAAGTCAGCCGCGCGTGAATTGTTGCTATAAATATTAATATTAATATTATGTCGAAATGTTAAAAATTGTACGTAAAGTAAATAATTTTTTTTTTTTTTGGACACACAGAGAAAAATGATGATAAATGACAGTCAACAAATTCTATTATTTATGCGAGTTTTATAGTTTTGAAAATAGGAAAATAAATCATTGTGTGTATATGCCTGAGCACAAATAAATATAAGTAGATTTAGATACAGCTTGGTCATTTTATCAGTGTGATAAATTATCGCAAGCAGATCCTCGGAATGCAAAACAATTACCCACCCGTAAGTAAAATTGCCTTGCAATTTGGCCTTGAGGGGTGGGTGTTAAAATAGCAGAATCAAAATTAATGAAAACGCATAAAGGAGACGAGGCCAACTGCAATACATGCACTCGCTTTTATCCGCTATTTATCTGCATTACAACTTCTTTGTGACATAAATACGAAGTATATAATACTGAACTTTTTTTTTTTGTTTTATTTTATTTTGTTATTTTTTTTCTTTTTTGTGCATTTATATACACGTGAGGCAGATGCTCGAGGTACATGCATATTTACTATACAACACAGTGCTCTGGATACATTACGCAAATTATATCGTTATTTTCAATTATCCACATTACAGTAAATCCATTACGGGAATTATCTTTCATTACTCCGCACTGTGGTATAAAATTCAGAAATTAGTCAAATTCAATTGTATGTTCTTTAAAAAGGAAAAATAAATCGATTTTGAACCTAGAATTATTGAAAACATAATAACTGAGATATAATGGGTAATAAAGATTATGGAGATGAATTTATAATCTCGATTATTTTATATTCAATATAAAATTCAGTATACTGAATTTTACTAGATTTTTCTTCAAAGAAATTTTTAATTCTCTACATTGAAAAAAAATTTGATTCAAATAAACGATTAATTGACTATTATCAATTAAATATTTACTTGAATCAAATAATATTTATTGGAGTCAATTAAGTGGTACCCAAACCAATAATTTCAGTATTTAAAGCAAATATGAATTGGAACCATTTAATTGACACCAATAAATATTATTTGATTCAATTAAATATTTAATTGATAATAGTCTGAAAATTTAATTATAATATTAGAATATTTGATTCAAATAACTAGTTATTTAAATTAAATAATTTTTTTTCAGTGTAATTTAATTTTTCAATTTTTTAACTTAGGGTGTTTCTCCACAAAGTGGTAATTCTTTTTTAAAAAATTAATTTTTCCGTAAATTTCCCATGTAAACTTTATAAAGCTCCAAAATAATTATTTTGTTGATATTTGAACTGAATTTTTTTTTTATCTTTTATAAAAAATTTTTTAATTTTCAAATTTTTAAGCTTTGAAGACTGAAAAAAGTACAGAAAAATTAAATTAGACGACTAAAAAAACTCCTTTCAAATTGATTCAGAAAAAATTGATTCATTATTTCCATTATAACTTTTTTCTGATTTTCATCAAAAATATTTACTTCTTTTCCTCAACCTGGTATAATAACTTCAATTCTCAGTTCTCCTAAAGTTCAATTATTTAAAAAATTTTTTTGTTAAAGTTCTTCAAAAATATGATTATAATTAAAAAAAATTTTTTTAAAGTTGAAAAAATAAAATTCTTTAAAAATATAAAATTTACTTAAATTTCAATTTGACATATTTAATTTAATCTTTTTAATTCATCTACGAAAATTAAAGTAACTTCACAACAAATTTTAATTACAATTTTTTTCCTGGTTTCTAAATTAAATACCTCAATGTTTAAATAATTTTTATTAAAAATATATATTGAAATTTTCCACAGGAATTGATATTTTAAATAATTTCAATGTAAAACCTTTTTGAAATTTAATTCACAAAAACTCGCAACAGTAATTCTTTCAAAATTGAATCATTTTTTGGAATCTTTAAATAAAATTATTAAAAAATTCAATAATTCTTTTGGAAAATACTGAATAATTAATTTTTTTATGATAAATATTGAAATATTATTACAGTTTTACAATAATCAAACTTTTCAAAAAAAGTCATTTAAAATTTTTTTGAAATTTAATTATTTAAAATTTGTAATATAACGCTTCTAGTATTCAATATTGTTATCTACAATTTTATCTGAAAATCATTTTTAAATCAATTTTTGTTAGAAAGTTCAATGACAATTCATTTATTTAAATACAAAAATTAATAATTAATTAAATAATTAATTATTTTTTAAAATTGAATTTTTATCTTAAAAAATAATTGAATTCTTTCAAAAAATTTTAATAAACTTTTTAAGAATAATTGCATTTTTCCATGAATTTATTAAAAATTGTACCTATTAAAAATAATTAAATGCTGGAAACAAATTTTATTAAAATTGTTTTAAATAATTGAATTTGTTTTTGAAGAATTTTTTTTTTAATGAATTTTGTAAATAATTAAATTCTTTTAAGGAAAATATTTATAATTATATTGAAAATAAATGAATTTTCATTTAAACAAATTTTATCAATAATTATTTGAAAATAGTTCATTTTTTTCAGAGAATTTTACATAAATTTTTATTTAATTAATTTCTTTCAAAAAAATTTATGAAAATTGTATTTCAAATAATTGAAATTCTGTGGAAATTTTATTATCTATTAAAATAATTGAAGTTTTTGCAAATAATTTTATTAAAATTGTTTTTAAATAATTATTGTATTCTTTTGTGAAATCTTATGAAAATAGTAGGTTTGAAAAATAATTGAATTTCAGCGAAAAATTTCATTATTTGGAAAAAATAATTGAATTCTTGACAAAAAGAAATGTTCTTATAAAATTTTTGAAAATAATTATATCGTTTTAAAGAATTTTATTAAAAATTTATAAAGTGTTTCTAAGAATTTGATTAAAATTTTTGATAATAATGAAATTCTCGCAAGAAATTTAATTAAAAATGTATTGAAAATAATTATTAAATTTTATTAATTAAAATATATCGAAATTTTTAAAAATAATTGATTTCTTTCGAAGAATTTTAATAAAATTTTTAATAATAAATTAAATAATTGCATTTTCGAGGAATTTGTTTAAAATTGTATTAAAAATAATTGAAATCTTCCAACGAATTTTATTAAAATTTGAATAATTTAATTCTTGAGAAGAATTTTATTATTTATAAAAATAATTGAATTTTTGCGGAGAACTTCATGAAATTTTTTCGAAACAATTGAATTCTTTGAGAAATTTTTTATTAAAATAGCTGATATTGAAAATAATTGAATTTCGACTGTTTTTTTCGACAAATTTTTGGAAATAATTGAATCGTTTGATATTATTTTATTAAAATTTTTCAATTGTTTCTAAGAGACTAATTTTATTACAATTTTTAAGTGCAATTTTTTTATTCCAACTATTAGCGAATTTAAAGAAGTGCAAATTCTAATAAAAAAAGAAAAAAGTATCTTTTAGTGTTATACAAAACTAAAAAAAAGTAGTAAATAGTAGGTTTTAGTAGATGATTAATTTTGCAAAAATTGAATGCAGATTAATAAATAATTTTTAAATTTATTAAATAGGAAACAGTTGAATTTAATTTTTTTATTTTATAATTTAATTTTTTAATTTTTAATTTAATTTTTTAATTATTTTCGAAAGGCATTAATAGGAATGACGATGAATCCTGTGAACAGTCTAATACCAATGGCAGCAGAAATGTTAAAAATGGCTGGCATTACAAATCTAAATCGCCTTTTTGGTGTGACAACAATAAACAGCATTAGAGCAAACACAATGACGGCGGATATTCTTGGTGTCGATCCAGAATGTGTTGTTGTTCCAATAATTGGTGGTAATTGTCCAAAAACATGTGTACCACTATTTTCGAGCGCAAAACCATGCAACAGTTTCACTCACGTCAGTTTTTTCTTTTTATATTTAAAATCAAATTTTTTTTTCATTTTAAACTTTAATTTCAACAAAAAAGGAATTTAATTTAATTTTTAAAAACTTAATTTAATTTTCTAAAAATTTTATTTTATAAAAATAAAATTAAAAATAAATAAAATTTCTTTTTAAAGAAATTTAAGAATTTATTTATTTAAAGAAATTTAATTTAGGAGATCAATAAAAATTTTTACTATTTTTTTAATTTCCAGGAAGAAATCGGTAAATTAACGCATGGCGTAAGAAATGCAGATCAAGATTTTCAGCAAAAATATCCCGAAGTGGAAAATTCATTACACTTAATGGAAGGCTATGCTGCCGCAAGATTTTGTATGTCCTTGTGTAAAGGTGACTATTAAAAAAAAAATTAAATTTATAACAATTTCCAAACTTGTAATATTAAAAATCTAAAGGAGAAAAAAAATTTCCAAATGAACCGAGAATTTAATTATCCTTTGGAATTATTTTTATATAAAAATTGTAAAAATTTCCAAATGTTATTAAAAAGGAATAAAATTATGATCGCAAGGAAAATATTATGGTAGTGGAAAAAAATGGATTAATTAAAATGAAATTATGAATTTAATAAACAGCTTTACGGGATCAAACGGAGGTGGTGGAATGTGCTTATGTTCGATCTTGTGTTATTCCGGAAGTGACGTATTTCGCCTCGCCTTTGAGGCTAGGTCCATGCGGAATTCAGATGCATTTAGGTGTGCCACCTCTTTCAGATTCAGAATGCAAATTACTTGAAGTTGCAGTACCTGAATTGAGGGAAGCAATTAAAATTGGAGAGGTAATTTACATTTTATATCTCGATGACAAATATTTCCCTTTTTCCGCATATATACAAAAACAATTGTTTGAGATTTCATTTTTCATTAAATATATGAATTTTACTTTCATTATTATTTTCATTTCAATAAATTATTATGAGGGTTGCCACATAAATTTAACTTTGTTTTTCTCTGACTTTTCCTGATTTCCAGACAGAATTCTTATTTTTTCCCTGACCGTAAAAAATATTCTGATTTACTCTAAAAATTATTCGAAAACATGAATAGTTATCAATAAATATTTTATCATTATTATTTTACCATAGGAATTAACATTCTCAAAAATTTCAAATTCAAGCTTTAAAAAAATCAATTATTAACTAATTTACCTAATTAATTATTCTTGTTTATTAATTTCAAAAATTTTAATAAAATTCTTTCGCAAGAATTCAATTATTTTCATGAATAATAACATTATTCGTATAAGAATTCAATTATTTTTATAAATAGTGAAATTTTTAGGAAAAATTAAATTATTTATAAACAAGATTTTAATGAAATTTCACGAACGAATACAATTATTTTCTAAAATTTGAATAAATCTTTCGAAACAATTCAATTATTTTTTTAAATTGTAAAATCTTTGCAAAAATTGAATTATTTTCAAAAAAAAATTTCACGAAATAATTAAATTATTTCTTAATTCTTTATAAAATCTTTGCAAAAATTCATTTATTTTTAATACAATTTTAATAAAATTTCACCAAAGAATTCAATTTTTTTCTAAAATTTTGATAAATCCTTCGAAACAATTCAATTATATTCATAAATATAAGTAAAATTCATTGCAAAAATTCAATTTTCTTCCTAATTCGTCATAAAATTTTTCAAAAGAATTTAATTATTTTCTAAAATTTGAAGAAAATTCAATAATTAAATGTTCAATGTCAATTATTAACAAACACGATTATTTTAAAAACTTGAAAGAAATTGTTTATGAAATTCAATTATTTTCAAAATTTTTAATTAAAATTATTTAATAAAGTCCATTATAAAAAAAAAACTCAAAGAAAATTAGAATTTTCCAAAAATTTTAACAAAAGTCTTCGGGAGAATTCAATTATTTTCCTAAATAATAAAATTCTTCGAAGGAATTCTATATTATTAAATTTTTATAAAAAATTCTTTGCAACAATTCGTTGACTTTTGAAACATTAATTTTAAAATTGAAAATATTTAAAATGAAAAATTATTAAAAAGGTTAGGAAACAAAAATGCAAAATAATTTATTCAATAATTGAATGTTTAAAAAATTTACTTTTTACGAAGAATTTCATTAACAACTTTTGAAACTAATTAATTTCTTTTAAGGAATTTAATTAAAATTTTGTTTTGTTAAAGAATTTTATAAAAATTTTTAAAGACTTTTATTGAAATTTTTGAAAATAATTGAATTCCTAAAAAGAATTTAAATAATAATTGAATTCATGCGAAAATTTTTATTAAATTCTGTTTAAATAATTTAAAATTTGACAAGAATTTTATTAAAATTTTTGAAAATAATTGAATTCTTGAGAAGAATTTCGCTCTCTGTTTATTAAAATAATTTGAAGAAATTTTTAAAAATAATTGTATTTTTTGAGTAATTTATTTAAAATTCTATTAAAAATATTTGAAAATATGCGATGAAAATAATTGAATTTCTAAAAAAAATTTTATTATTTATGAAAACAATTGAATGTTTTCGAATTGTATCAAAAACTTTTTTTCAACAATTAAATTATTTGAGAAATTTGATAAAAATAGTAAATATTGAAATTCATTGAATTGCGATTACCTTATGAAAATAATTGAAATTTTGCAAAGAATTTTATTTAAATTTTAGAAAGGAATTGAATTTTTTCTAAAAAAATTTTTCAACTTATAAAGATAATTGAATTCTTCACGAGAATTTTTAAAATATTTTGAATATCATTTAATTTCTGCAAAGTATTTTATTACCTTTCAAAAGAATTATATTCTTGTAATGAATTTTAATATTTATAAAAATAATTGAATTTTGGATAAGAATTTTATTAAAATTCCTTAAAATAATTGATATTATGGGAAGAATTTTGTTGTTTATCGTGATAATCGAATTCTTTTGCAGAATTAATTGAATGTTTTTGTAAAATTGTATCAAACTTTTTTTTTCTATAATTAAATTTTTTGATAAATTTTATGAAAATTGTAAATATTGAAAATCATTGAATTGCAAAAAACTTTTGAAAATAATTGAAATATTGCAATGAATTTTATTTAAATTTTTGAAAATAATTAAATTTTCGTCGAAAAATTTTGCTATTTATAAAGATAATTGAATTATTGACGAGATATTCGTTAAAATTTTTAAAAATAATTGAATTTTTTCGAAGAATATTATTACTTTTGAAAATAATTGAATTCTTGTAATTAATATTGTTATTTATGAAAATAATTGAATTTTGCAAAGAAATTTTATTAAAATTATTGAAGAAAAATTGAATCCCTGAAAAGAATTTTAATATTTATGAAAAATAATTGAATTTGGTAAAGAATTTTATTAAAATTTCGAAAAATAATTGATTTTCTGGGAAGAATTTTATTACTTTTGAAAATAATTGAATTCTTGTGATGAATATTGTTATTTATGCAAATAATTGAATTTTGCAAAGAATTTTTCATAAATTCCTAAAAATAATTGAATTTCTGTGATGAATTTTGTTATTTACCAAGATTATTGCATTAAAACTTTTAGAATTTTTTTAATATTAAATAATATTAAAAAATTCATTCTGGTCAGAAATAAAAAAATTTTTGAATGTTTTGTATTAGAATTCGTGATAGTTTCATAGTTTATGAAGCAAATAAAAAAAAGACACAAAAAAATTAAGAATTTTCTCACGAATTCTAAAAATTAAATTTTTTCCAGTAATTTTAATAAAAATCCCTGTCTTTTCTCTGAATTCCGTGATTTCCCTGACCTGTGGCAACCCTAATAATTATTTATTTAAATTTATTTAAATGAAAATATAATAAATCAAAAAGAAGAAATAATATTTCATTTGTTTGGAATATTTCATAAATTTTCATATATTTAACTCGTGATTCTTTTAAATTCTCATCAGATGAGAAAGTATTTTTTTTTCTTTATATAATGTTTAATTTAAATTTTATAAGTCGACTTGTTATTTTTTTTGTCCACATTAAATGTCGTGTGTGTTTATATGTGGAAATGCGAAGAAGTCATAAAAGCGTTTTACGTCAGCATCTCTTTTTTTTTTTTTTGCAGACACTCGCTCTTGGAACTGAAGACATTTCATCTGAGATTTGTCCCCCAGACCCTGAACCATGTGCCGAACGAGTTTATTCCTCGGAAAATAGTAAAACTCCCCCAACTACTTGTGCCGAATGAGTTAATAAATTCATAATTTAATTACCAATTTTATTTTACTAATATTTAGTATGAATTTTTTTTTCTTTCTTTTTTTTCTATTTCAGACTTAGTACTCAATAATTAATTTTTTAAAAAAGTAGCTTAAGACTGAAAACAGAAGTAAAAAAGTAGCTATCGAAAAATTAAACTTGACGACTCAATTTTTTCATATACTGAGAAAATAATATATTTGAATGAAATAAATTTTTTTAACTATAGATTTTCTTTCGTTGAACAACTTTCCTATTTTTGAGAATATTCACTACTTTTTAAGTAAAAAAAAATAATTCATTGTAAATTTGTCATTGTTTTATTAGTTTTTCATTAGCTTACAAGAGATATAATTTTTTTTTAAAACAAAAATTTTTATTAAGAGATAATTAAAAATTGTAAAATTTATTAAAATCGATGGAGTAAAATGATGATGAGAGTGGAAAAGCGACAGTAGCTGTACGCAAGTGAAAGCTGGGAGGCAAATAATTTACACGTCAATATTGAATATTAGAAGCATTTAATATCGATGTAGATATGCTTTTAACATTATTTATACTTTAGCTACTTGTTTAATATTATATCGTGTTTTATTCATTGACGTGGGAAAAATATATTGAGAAATGCGCTCCTCTATATTTCTAGGTCTCGTTATATTTTAAATCGACTTGTTTCTAAACGAGAAAACGAGTGTAATAACACTTATATTTGCAGACAACATACATTTGTTGTCATGCGAGAATTAATATTTCTCCTAAAGGATGTTTTCTTTTATTCCTTCAACAAGAGATGTTCATGTTATTATAAAAGAAAACGAACAATATTTTAATAAATATCAAAATTCATCACAAGAATTCAATTCCTTTGAAAAGTACCTAATAAAAAATTTTGTAGAAATTAAATTATTTTAAAATTTTTTTTAAATTTTCATCAAGAATTCAATTATTTTTATAAATTTTTCGCCAAAAATTCAATTACTTTCAAAAAATTAAATAAAATTCTTGGGAAAATTTCAATTATTTTCAAAAGTTAATCGTAATTCAATAAATTTCAATATTTACTATTTTCATCAAATTTATCAAATAATTTAATATTTGAAATCAATTTTTGATACAATTCTACGAAAACATTCAATTATTTTCAAAAATAATAAAATTTCATTTAGGAATTCAATTATTTTCATCGCGGAATCAATTATTATTTTCAATTATCTTGATAAACAACAAAATTCTCCCCATAAAATTAATTATTTTAAAAAATTTTAATAAAATTCTTTTATAAAATTCAATTAATTTTATAAATATTAAAATTCATTACAAGAAAATAATTGTTTTGAAAGGTAATAAAATACTTTGCAGAAATTAAATGATATTCAAAATATTTTAAAAATTCTCGTCTAGAATTAAATTATTTTTATAAATAGATAGCGAAATTCTTTACAAGTATTCAATTATTTTTAAAAATTTAAATAAAATTCCTATCAGAATTTAAATTATTTAAACAGAATTTAATAAAATTTTTCGCATGAATTCAATTATTTTCATAAATTATTATTTTCATTCATTTTTAGGAATTCAATTATTTTTCAAAATTTCAATAGAAGTCTTCAAAAAGTTTTCGATTATTTTCAAAAATTTTTTATAAAATTCTTTGATAATAATAAATTTTAGTAAAATTTTAATTAAATTCCTTAAAAGAAATAAATTAGTTTCAAAAGTTGTTATTGAAATTCTTCGTAAAAAGTAAATTTTTTAAACATTCAATTATTGAATAAATTATATTGCATTTTTGTTTCCTAAACTTTTTTAATAATTTTTCATTTTAAATATTTTCAATTTTTAAATTACTGTTTTGAAAATCATCGAATTGTTGCAAAGAATTTTATAAAAAAATTTGATAAAATAGAATTCCTTCGAAGAATTTTATTATTTAGGAAAATAATTGAATCCTCGCGAAGACTTTTGTTAAAATTTTTGGAACATTCTAATTTTCTTTGAGTTTTTTTTTTTAAATAATGGAGTTTATTGAATAATTTTAATTAAAAATTCTGAAAATAATTGAATTTTCATGATCAATTTCTGTCAAGTTTTTAAAATAATCGTATTTGTTAATAATTGGCATCGAACATTTAATTATTGAATTTTCTTCAAAATTTCAGAAAATAATTGCATTCTTTTGAAAAATTTTATAACGAATTAAGAAAAAAATTGAATTTTTGCAAAGATTTTATAACGAATTGAGAAATAATTGAATTCTTTCGTAAATTTTTTTTTTTTTGAAAATAATTTAATTTTTGCAAAGATTTTACTATTTAAAAAAATAATTGAATTGTTTCGAAGGATTTATTTAAATTTTAGAAAATAATTGTATTCGTTCGTGAAATTTCATTGGAATTTTGTTAAAAAATAATTTAAATTTTGTTAAAAATAAAAATAGTCTTCAAGAAGTTTTCGATTATTTTCAAAAATTTTTATAAAATTCTTTAATATAATAAAAATTGAAATTGAATTTAAATGATGAAAATAATTTCGAAGGAATTAGAGTAACAATATTCTTATGTAAAATAATAATTTTATCACTGAGTTATCTTTGATTATTATAAAAAAAATGTTTTGTAATTCTTCTCTCTAAATTATTAGTAATTATGTTTACTTAATTTAAAGTTAGTTTAAATTAGTAAAAATGTTTACTAATTTGAATTAGTGACTGACTTTTTGCTTTTGAATTAGTAAACTTTACTAGTAAATAGTTATTTCTACTAATTTATTAGTTAAATTTGCTAATTCAAAAGCAAAAAGTCAGTCACTAGTTCAAATTAGTAAACATTTTTTTACTAATTCAAATTTAGAGAGTTCATGTTTTATAATGTTTTATTAAATGCAGAAGAATTGTTTTACCTGAAAAAATTATGTTTAATTATTTATTTAATAAAGATCAAAGTTTCTAGGGCTAAAAGCCCTATAGGATTATGTTGAGGCGGGAAATTTTTTTGAGAAAAAAAAACCAGAAGAAAAATGACCTTTCATCTCCTGCAAGTTGGAGTAAACACAAGTAGCTTCTCTATGGCATTATTTTTTTATTGCTGAAATGAAGCAACGGTATCGGAATTATTGCTGCCATGGTAATGTTTATAAATCACGTGATTCCATTCGCATATAACTCTGCGCAGATTCAGAAATTCCATGCTCGGTGCATTATGGTTTTACAGGGAAGTCGCCTGCGAGCAATACGAAGGTCCCGAAGGTGTTATTTATAGTCTTGGTTGCATTACTTATAAAGAGTCTACACATATATATACAAAAGCAATGGAAATGCTGATGCGGTGGGTGAGTCGGTTAAGTGGTTAACTCTCCAGGTCGAGAGTCTTTGTATATAAAAGGTTGGCGCCATAGGCACGCAAAACCAACGGTCCCTTCGATGTTCCGCTTCATTGAAGTCGCGATTTTAAATCTTATCTTTCTGTCTATAAATCCTCATGCCAATATAATGCATTGTAAATTGCAATAAACAAAAAATTTAACATCAAAGATACAGATTTTCATTAACGAACAAAACTTTCACTCCTCTGTATCAAACTAATTTTTTTTAAAGTCCTGAAAGAATGTCTCTTGAAAATGATGATGATTAAAACGACAAATCTTCAAACTTTTCTTATTTATCTTCAAAAATCTTTAAACTAATCAAAAGAAATTTCTTCAGTTTTTGGTTATAATTTTTTCTAAAATATGATAAATGAAATTCATCCAAAATTCAATTATTTTCATAAATAATAGAATTTCCACAAGAATTCAATTAATTTAAAATAGCATTTTCAAAAAAATTTCTAAAAAATCAATTATCTAAATTTTTATACAATTCTTCACAATAATTCAATTACTTTCACTAATAATAACATTTTTCATGGAAATTCAATTTTTTAAAAAAAAATTTATGATAGAATACTAAGCAAAAATTCAATTATTTTCATAAATAATAAAACTCATTTAAGAATTTCAATTATTTTTAATACTATTTGAAATTATTAATCGAAAAATTCAATTATTTTCACAAATAAAGTTTTCCACAAGAATTCAATTATTTAAAATAAAATTTTCATATTATTTATTATATTTCGGAAAAATTAATAATTTAAAAGAATATTTATAAAATTCTTATGAAGAATTCAATTATTTTCAAAAATAATAAAATTTTTTCACAAAAATTCAATTCTTTTTAAACATTTTAATAAAATTTTTGGCAAAAATTCAATTATTTTCATAAATAATAAAATTTGTCGTAGGATTTCAATTATTTTGAATACAATTTTACAAGAATTGCTCAAAAAATGTAATTATTCTTAAAAATTTAATTTCAAGTTCACGAAAAAGTTAATTATTTAAAAAAATATTTTTTTGAAATTCTTTGGAAGAATTCAATTATTTAGAGAAATATTAGAATTTTTCACAGGAATTCAATTTTTTGTTTTTTTTAAAAAAATTCAATTATTTTTCTAGATTTTAATAAAATTCTTCCCAAGAATTCAATTATTTACATAAATAATTTGACAAATGAATTCAATTATTAAAGATAAATAACAAAATTATTCCTGAAAATTTAATTATTTTGAGGCATTCTATTAAAATTATTTGGAAAATTCAATTATTTTCATAAATGACAATATTCATCACAAGAATTCAATTATTTTTAAAAGTATATAAATTTTTTCTTGGAAATTCAATTATTTTAAAATATTCTAATAAAATCGTTCGGAAGAATTCAATTGTTTTCATAAATAATAAAATGCTTTTTAGGAATTCAATTATTTTCAAAAAAAAATTTAATAAATTGACACACAGATATTTAATTATTCTCAAAAATTTTAGTAGAATTTTTTGTAAAATTCAATTATTTTTAAAAACTTTTCGCAATTCAATTCAATTGTTTTTCACGAATAATAAAAATTTTTAAATTTATAATTTTATAATTAATTTTATTTATAGTGACACAAAATATAATAAAAATTTAATTTGAAGAAGAAGAAAATAAATTTTTTTTTGTTTCTCAACTTTTTTAATAAATTTTCTTTTTT